TCCTCGCAGCGTGCCGCTGGTGCTAGCTCTCGAGAGGTTGGTGCGGCGCCTGTTCCTGTACCGGTTTCTGGTTCTGGGGGTGCTATAGTTGGAGCTGGAGTTGGAGCTGGAGTTGGAGCTGGAGTTGGCACTGGAGTTTCTGGTTCTGGGGGTGCTGGAGTTGGAGCTGGAGTTGGAGCTGGAGTTGGAGCTGGAGTTTCTGGTTCTGGAGTTGGAGCTGTCCCGGTGGGTGCAGAGGACTCTTGCCGTCCGGGAGCTGGTGCTGGTCGCGCGGACACTGGGGGTGAGAGTGCGCCTCCTTCGGGTTCTGGTGAGCCTGGGTCTGGAGCTGGTGTTAGTGCTGCCTCTGGGGGTGGTGCGCCTGGTTCTTCGGGGGTGGACTCTGGAGCTGCCGCTGCTTCGGACACTACTCCGCCCCCCCACCCCTACCCGACTAGGCACCAGGCTCGTGTTCGCCGTGCCCGTGACGAGCAGCTGGCGTTGGAGAGAGAGGAGAGGGAGTTACAGCGGCTGGAGGAGCAGCAGCAGCAGCTGGAGCCGCAGGAGCAGCAGCAGCAGCAGCAGCTGGACCCGCAGGAGCAGCAGTCCCAGCAGCAGTCGCAGCAGCAGCAGCAGCAGCCACTTCCTCCTCCTGTCTCGGGTCTTCGGACCCTTGGTCTCCCCTCCCCTTCTCCTCCCTCCTCCGCCTCTCCTCCTGTCTACGGTCCCACGTTTCCTCCTCCTGACTCCTCCCCCGTTGTTTTCCCCAGTTCTCCGCCTTTGTCCTCTCCTCCTCCGTCTCGTTCTTGGGCTACTCGTCGCTCCCCTCGTGCTCGTCCCTCGTCTCCTGTTCCCTTCACTGACCTTCGTACTGCCTTCCTTCTTTCTAGTCCACCTCGTCCGTCTCAGTCTGTGCTTCCGTCTCCTCCTGAGTCGGCCCTCACTGTGTCGCTCCCTACTCCTGTCACTGACTACTACCGCACGTACCGTCCTGTTCTCTCTCGTGTTCTCGCCTCTCTTGTTACTCACCCTCGTGCCTCTGTGTCCTCTGTGTCCGCTCTTACTGCCGCAGTTACTGACTTTGCCTCTACCCGCCGCCTTGACTACGCCACCACGCTTGTGGCTGCTCCTCCTACCAGTCCTCTGGCCGTCGGGGGTGTGTCTGCCCTTGGCTGTGACGCCCTAGAGGACAGGCAGTTTGAGCTAGAGTTCCTGGCGGCCGCTTCCCCTCATCTCTGTGCCATGCTCCTCGCCCCTGAGGGTGACCCCGACGCCCTTGACATTCCGACTCCTCGCACTTACGCTGAGGCAGTGTCAGGGCCTTGGGCCTCTCAGTGGAGAGCTGCCATGGACGCAGAGATGGCCTCCTACAGATCCACAGGCACCTACGTCGATGAGGTTCCCCCCCCTGGGGCGAACGTAGTCGACGGCATGTGGATCTACAGGGTGAAGCGGCCACCGGGATCTCCCCCGGTCTTCAAGGCGCGCTACGTGGCTAGAGGTTTCAGTCAGCGCGAGGGAGTTGACTTCTTTCAGACCTTCGCACCTACCCCGAAGATGACCACTCTTCGGGTGTTACTACACGTAGCAGCACAGAGAGACTACGAGCTACACTCTCTCGACTTCTCCACTGCTTTCCTTCAGGGCAGCCTACACGAGGAGGTCTGGTTGTGTCGTCCCTTGGCCTTCACTGGCACTTTCCCTCCTGGGACCCAGTGGAGGCTGAGGCGACCTGTTTATGGTCTTCGCCAGGCCCCTCGTGAGTGGCACGACACTCTGCGTTCTACCCTCTCTGACCTTGGGTTCCAGCCGTCTTCTGCCGACCCGTCGCTGTTCGTTCGTCGTGGCTCCACACCGTTCTTTGTTCTGGTTTACGTCGACGACCTCGTTTTCGCCACTCCGGACAGGGTTGCTTTGGCAGACGTGAAGTCCGAACTGCAGAAGAGACACACGTGCACTGATCTTGGTGAGCTGCGCCACTACCTTGGCCTGCAGATCACCAGGGACAGAGCCGCTCGCACCATTACAATCTCACAGTCACACATGGTGCAGCAGGTCCTTCAGCGGTTCGGGCTTCAGCACTCCACCGTACAGCGCACACCTCTCGCTGTTGACCACAGACTCACTGGTCCCTTTCCTGACGAGCCGTTTGAGCCTAGTGGTCCCTACGCAGAGCTTGTGGGTTGCCTCATGTACCTGATGACTTGTACTCGCCCGGACCTCGCCTTCCCTCTCAGCATCCTTGCGCGCTTTGTTGCGCCAGGGAGACACCGTCCTGTTCACTGGACGGCAGTTGTGAGGGTGGCGAAGTACCTAGCGACTACATCAGGCGTGGGGCTAGTTCTTGGAGGGCAGCAGTCTGTCGTACTCACTGGTCACTGTGACTCCTCTTACGCTGACGACGCTGAGACTCACAGGTCTACTCAGGGGTACTGTTTCAGTCTGGGTTCTGGAGCTGTTTCCTGGCGTTCCACGCGCTCCTCTTCTGTCTCGACCTCTACAGCTGAGGCTGAGATTTACCCTGGTGCCATGGCGGCACAGGAGTTGCGGTGGTTGACCTTCTTGCTCGTCGATCTTGGTGAGCGGCCGAGCTCTGCACCGACCTTGTTTACTGACAACAAGGCGTCGATCCTCCTCTGTCGTGAGCCGCGACTGGAGAGCAGAGTGAAGCACATTCACGTCAGGTACTTTCTTCTGCGAGAGTTGCAGAGACGTGGACAGGCTCGCTTCGAGTTTGTGGAGTCCGAGGCCAACACTGCAGACATCTTCACCAAGGCGCTTCCGCCTTGTGACCACCAGAGGTGTTGTGTGCAGTTAGGCCTTGTTGACACAGGTTCTAGTCATGTGTAGACTTGAGTTTATTGCCTGCTTCGTCTGTACACTTGCTATATATACTTGTGATCTCTTGGACTGGCCTTGTGGCCACTGTTGCTTGTGCTCAGAGTGTGTGGTGACGTTGTGATCCACCCTGAGCTTTGTTTTCTTTTGGACTGGTCTTGTGACCGTACCCTTTTTTGATTTTGCTAGACACTCCTCACTTAGGCTATGGGGGTGTGTCAAATGTTGTAGCCTATAGTGAGGTTTGTCTTAGGGGGTACAGAAGTTAGGGTTTGTTATATGTACCCCAACCAACATCAATGGAACTTTCATTCCTCATTCTGACATTAATGTGGTTAGTGAAGCTTGTAGAAAAAAAAGTATTTAAAAAAGTGGCGGTTATAATGTGAAAGGTACAGGTATGCGGCTATAATCCGTATGACTCTAGGGTATGCGCTTATAATCGAGGAGGGGATATAAGCGCCATATGCCAATTAGAAGCGCCAGGCGCTTATCCTAGGGTGGCGCTTATATCCGGGGGGTGACGGTATTGGGCCAGTTCATCTTCGACCGTCAAATCGAAGTCGTACTTCATCAACGGCCTACATTCCAACCTTTTCAAAAAAATTGTCAAAGGCATTTCAGCTGTCGGATTCAGCTGAAGGGGAGATCTACGGCATCCTTGCTAGTGTGGGGCCTATTTTCAGTACAGGGCTGCCTTATTTAGAAGGTGGGAGAGTGTAAGGATTTACAAATCCTTACTGAGGCACTCGTTAGCGAGGCCATCCCGATGGTCACGCGACGAACCTGACCTTCCTATTTCGTCGCACCGAACCACTCCCGAGTCGGCCTCCGCTCCAATCGCAACCATCACCGAGCCATCCTCGCCCAACCTCCCCGCCTAGCCAGCTTTTCCCCTATTTAGGCCTCGGCATTCTCATTGTATCGGGATTCAGTACTCAGTTCATTCTCGATATTCGTTTTACTGCGCACTCTGCAAGTTCATTCATAACACCACCCGCTGGTTTTCAAACTCATCTTGGCCATTTCAGATGCATTGAACTTCAAAACTGAAAATATGAAATCTGTTTCAGGAACTCCTTCCTCCCCGTCCACCTGACCTCCAATGCACGGCTGCTACTAAAGCGACTCTCGAAAAGCCCTATGTCCGGGGTCGTCGGGTCTTTTCAGAACAAAAGCCACCACGGCAGCAGCTCCATCGGCAGCAGCAGCAGCAACGCCAGGTACAGCAGCCGCCGCTGTCCGTTTCAGAGCCATGCCGCAGCCGCAGCAACAGCCACATTCGCAGCCGCAGCCGCAGCTACATCCGCTCCTCCGTCCGCCTTCGCTTCAGCTCCCGCTCCTCCCGCAGCAGTCTGTCCCCCCATCGAATCCGCCAATGGCGGAACCATCGGCGCAACAGCCGCAACAGCGGCCAGCGCAGGGCGAACAGCAAATCGCGCCGCCGCCGAAGGCGAAGTCGCAGTCGCCGGCGCCGTCGCAGCCGTTCGCGACGCAGATTCGCGCGGGTTTCGCGAAGCTTCACGGCGAAGATTTCGAGTTTTTCATGCAGTCGTATTCCGTCGTGCTTGGTCGCAACAGCAAAAAGTCGTCCGTCGATCTTGACCTCTCCGCGCTCGGCGGCGGAATGAACGTTTCGCGAAACCATGCGAGGATCTTCTACGATTTCGCCGCTCGCGAATTTCGCCTGGAGGTGCTCGGCAAGAACGGCGTGTACGTGGACGGGCAGTCGAAATCTTCTGGATCTGACCCGATTCCGCTAAAATCCCAGCAGCTGCTGCAGGTGGGGGATAAACGGTTCTATTTTCTTCTTCCCGCCAGAAAGCCAGACCCTCATGCCAAACCTGAACCGCCTCCTGCAGCAGGTTCGGCACCTGGACCTCTGGTTCATGCCCTGGGGTCAGGCTCGGATCCAGGTCCGGGTTTGGGTGCGAGTATTAATGATGGAGCAGTCACTAACGGAGCAAGTACTGCAGTTGGGGTTGCTGCTGCTGGTGGTGGTGCTGCTGCTGGCTCTAAAATTGTACCAACCGCTTCCCTTCATTTTCCCCAGCACCCTCCTCCTCCCACTAACCGCTTTTCTCTTATCCCTATCCAACCACTAATTACCTCTCTTAATCCCACTCCTTTGAACCGTATCTCCAATTCTCTTGGGAACCAAGAATCACTCAGCCAAGTGTCAGATGGCAGTGGGGGAGGGGTTGGAAGAGGCAGAGAAGCGGTTGGGGAGGGTAAGAGAGGGTCAGAAGGCAGTGGGGGAGCGGGTGGAAGGGGGAGAGGAGCAGGTGGGGAGGGTAAGAGAGGACGCAGTCGTGGTAGAGGGGGTGGGGGGCGCGGGAATAAGAGTAACTCCATTCCGCCTGGTAACACTAGCTGTGCTGGTAACCAGATCGCCAGCAACACCAGCAACAGTAACCCTCCTACTGGTAACCAGACCGCCAGTAGCAGCATTAGCAACAGCATCAGCAACAGCATCGGTATCAGCAACACGCCTGCCTCATTAAACCGGCCTCCCATGCCCTTGTATATGCAGCAGAGGGATAGTCTGGGAGCAAATCCAACACAGCAGACCAAGGCGCTTCCAGCTCAGCCCCCTCAAACGTGGTTACCGTTACCGCAGCAAGGCAGTGTGTTGTTGCTATCCCAGCGGGCTCCCATGCTCTCAGCACAGCTAGCCACGTCACCGGTCATGCAGCGGGACGCATCGCCTGTAGTGCAGAGCGAGGCAGGGCAGAGGGAGCAGAGGGAGCAGGGTTCGAGGCTTGTGGGAGCACAGGGGATGCTGGGGTTGCAGGGTGCAAGGGGTGAAGGTACGCACGAGATGCAGGGCGTGCAGGGGCTGCAAGGCTTGCAGGATGCACGGTTTGTAGGGGCGCAGGGCGAGAATGGTGCGCAGCAGGGGATGCAGGGGACTCAGGGGATGCAGGGGATACAGGGAATTCAGGGGATACAGGGAATTCAGGGGATACAGGGAATTCAGGGGATACAGGGAATTCAGGCGATACAGGGCTTGCAGAGTGCAAGGGCTGAAGGGATGGGAGCGGTTGTTGCGGAGGATGGGAGGGCCACGGGCGGAAGAGGCAGGGGTGGAAGGAGAAGCGCGCAGGGGGGAGTGGGAAGGGGGAGGAGAGGAGGGAGACGGGGAGGGGTGGTGGAAGGGACGAGTGGAGGAGTTGGTGGAGCTGAACCTGCTAACACAGCCAGTGGGGTGGGCAGTGCAGTAGGCAGTGCGGTGATATTGGGTGGCAGGGTTGGGAGTGGGGTGGTGATGGGTGGTAGGGTGGGGAGTGGAGTGGGCGGTGGTATGGATGGTGGCATAAGCAGTGGGGTGGGTGGTGTCATGGGTGGTGGGGTGGGCAGTGACAGTGGCGTGATGCGTATGGATGGAAAGGGGCAAGGGGAACCAAGGGAAGGCGATCAAGAGCAGAGGGGAAAGAAGAGGAAAGGTGTGGAGTGTGGAGGCGGGAGTGGGGTCACGGGGGTTATGGGCAGCACTGGTGGGGTTATGGCTGCTGGCGGTGCGGTCATGAGTGAGGGTGTGAGTGGTGCTGGGCAGGTGAAACGGATGTGTGGGCCAGGAGAAGGGTGAGGAGAAGGGTGAGGAGAAGGGCGAGGAGAAGGGTGAGGAGAAGGGTGAGGAGAAGGGCGAGGAGAAGGGTGAGGAGAAGGGTGAGGAGAAGGGCGAGGAGAAGGGTGAGGAGAAGGGTGAGGAGAAGGGCGAGGAGAAGGGTGAGGAGAAGGGTGAGGAGAAGGGCGAGGAGAAGGGTGAGGAGAAGGGTGAGGAGAAGGGAGAAGTGATGGGCGTTGGGTTGGGAAGCAGCAGCAGCAGTGCCAACAACAGCAGTCACACCAGTTTGTGGTGCGGGGTATTTGTGTGACATGGCATCTCAGGAAGACACCCTAAGAAGTTCGAACCGTACATGTGCATGGATGGAATATTGCATTGATAGAGAAATTTTTAGAAAATGAGTTGCCAAACTCTGTCTACACTAAGGCATTCGCCTATAGATATTTATTATCCAAGCTACATGCAAACAACCAACCAGCAATTGTGCCCAACTACAGCCAAAGAAACGACACCAATTTGGCTGTGCCAAGAAACCAGCAAAGCCCTACAGACTACAAACTACAGACAGCTGTCAAAACAGCTTCTACCACACTGAAGTGCCAGCGTATCAGCCAGCACACACAAGCCTAACATCCAGCCTATCGCTTGTACCATTCTTTAGGCACCTTCAAGAAAGCGAACCTACAGTTGCCAACTCAGTCTGTGTCACAGATGAACCATAAGTGCAGCATACACATATCTACCTACCTGCCTATCAGTGCAGTCCCTGCCCTTGAAACTGCACGCCCGCATGATTGCATGTTGACATGCATAGAAGACCATGTTTCCACTGCACATTCACTCGCTGTCACACCCACACTCCCCCTCATAACCCCCCCTACATTTCTCCGCAATTCTCTCCCAACCGTTCCTCCCACAGCCACAGTTCCTCCCACAAGCTCTCCTCACTCCCCCCTCCTCCCCTGGCTCTCCAACAAACTCCCCTCACCCCCCCCTCCCCCCCACCCTCCCTTTCCCCCCACTCCCCACAGCCTCAACATTGCAACCGTCTCCCCATTTCATGATGCCAATCGGCACTGCAAATTGAGGTTTGAGATGCCTAAAAGCACTGCAAAGCTCTCCCCCGTCTTGGATCACGGCTCGCTCGCTCGCGGCGTTACTGCTGCCATTTGAGTTGCGACCTTGGCTTCCGCAGTGCCCTCATGCCCCATCTTCGACTGTGAATGCTGCACTTGCTTTTTTATCCGACGCAACTGTGATGGCTTTTTTGGGGCCTAAAAAATTGACCTTGGCTTCCACCGCAGTGCCCCAATCCTCAACTGCACATGCTTCTGATCTGAGGCGCCTCTTGCAAGAACCGTGGCTCATGACGCTACCGCTGCGTTACAAATCGCGACTTTGGTTGTTTCATTGCCCCAATCTTTGAAAGCGAATGCTGCAGCGGGACTTTTGGCCGCAGGGGAGCACCCCGTGCCACCAGCTGCTGCTGATTCTGATTCTGATTCTGGCTCTGCTGCTGCTGCTGTGCTGCAAGCGAATGCTGAAGACTATCAGTTGAGAAGTTTCTTGGAAACTGCTGCACCGGCACCGGTGGCACCACTGCCTGCTGCTGCACCTGCAACTGCTGCTGCTGCTGCTGCTGCTGCTTCAGAACAAAGGACGACGAAGGAGAGGTCCAGGCATACCTCCTAGAGCTAGCCTGCTTCTCCGGGCGGCGGAACGTGGGATCCAGCAGCTGCAGCATGTGTCCCGCCCAGAACTGCGCCTCCGACGGGCCCTCCTTGTACACCTTATACACTATCTCGAGCCCGTCATTAGCGAGGATGAACGAGGCTGAGACTAAGTCGGAGGAGAGGACGTAGAGCGTCCAGGCGCAGGTCTTGGCAATGGCGGCAGGCAAAGGAGGCGCGGAGGAGGACGAAAAAGTGGAGTGGAAGGGTGAGAGAGAGACCGATGCTGTGGCTGCTCGAGGAGAAGGCTCGACAGAGAAGGCTTGCTCTGCTTGCCCTTCTCGCCCTTCTCGCCCTGATCGCCCTGCAGCAGAAGCAGTGTTAGCAGCAGCAGCAGCAGCAGCAGCAACGGAGTGGAAGAGCAGGTCGAGCAGCAGAGGCACGGCGCCGGCAGCAGCGATGGCGAGCTTGTTGTCACTGCTGTTCACTGCCAGCGTGCCCACCGCCAGAGCCGCCCTCTCCTGCTCGCCCGTGCTGCCGTCTCGTAACATGGTTACCAGCGCAGGGATGGCACCCGCTTCCGCCACTGCCATCTGGAGTGGGGATGAGGGGAGAGGGGGGGGGGGTAGGGAGAGGAGGGCGGGTGGAGAGAGACAAGAGAGGGTGTGTGCATGGAAGGGTGAGAAAGAGGGTATGCGAGGGAGTGAAGGCAGCAGCGATGGCGAGTTTGTTGTCGCTGCTGTTCACTGCCAGCGGGCCCACCGCTAAAGCTGCCCTCTCCTGCTCGCCCGTGCTGCCGTCTCGTAACATGGTTACCAGCGCTGGGATGGCACCCACTTCCGCCACTGCCATCTGGGGTGGGGTTGGGGGGATGGGGGGAGAGAGGGGAGGTGGGGAGGGTGGAGAGAGATGAGAGAGGGTGTGTGCATGGAAGGGTGAGAAAGAGGGTATGCGAGGGAGTGAGTAAGGCAGCAGCAATGGTGAGTTTGTTGTCGCTGGTGTTCATTACCAGCGTGCCCACCACCAGAGCCGCCCTCTCCTGCTCGCCCGTGCTGCCATCCCGTAACATGGTTACCAGCGCTGGGATGGCCCCTGCTTCCGCCACTGCCATCTGAAGTGGGGATGAGGGGAGAGTAGGGCGGGTGGAGAGAGACGAGAGACGGTGTGTGCATGGAAGGGTGAGAAAGAGGGTATGCGATGGAGGGAGGAAGAGCAGCAATGGCAAGCTTGTTGTCGCTGCTGTTCCTCCCTGAGACAGCAGCCAGCGTGCCCACCTCTCCTGCCAGCGTGCCCACCTCTCCTGCTCACCTGTGCTACCTGCTTGCCTGTGCTGCCGTCTCGCTGAAACACGCGCACACTTGCTGTCGGGTGATTCGCTCACCTGCAAGTCCCAAACTTGTTCTGTTCATTGCTACTTGTGGCAGCTGCACGGCTGTGAATATTTCCCCTCAACTCCACTTTCCCCCCACACCCAACTCATTTTGACGTTCAGCATAGATCCCCCCTCTCTCGGCCCCCCTCTCCCCCCTCCCTCTCCCTCCACTCTCGGCTCCCCTCTCCCACCTCCCTCTCCCTCCATTCTCGGCCCCCCTCTCCCCCCTCCCTCTCCCCTCTCGGCCCCCCTGTCCCCCCTCTCACGGTTCACAAATCTTATAATTGTAAACTGTGAAGTGTGCTATCTATCGCATCTGCTTCTTCCACTCACAGACCAGCCCAGCCCTCCCAACACTGCCCCATCCCCCCTCCCCTCCTCCCTAACTTTCTCATTCTCATCTGGTACTTCTCGCTGTTTGCCGTGAGGTGTGCAATCGCAATTGCACAATGCCCAAACCCCCTCCACGCACGCACTGTCACACCCCCTCCACAACTGCCCAACCCTCCCCCCTCTCGCGCCCTTACTTGTTTCTTTACATTTTGTCTGAGAGGTGTGCAATCGCAGCCGCACATGCCCAAACCCCCTCCACGCATTGCCCAGGCTAGAGCCCAAACCCAGTCACCCTTATCCCTCTCGCGCCCTCACCTATGTTTCTTCTCGTTGTTGGCTCTGAGGTGCACAATCGCGCTAGCACTCTGCACGCTGCCCAAACCCTTAACCACTACCCACCCCCCTTCTCCGCCTCACCTGGTTCTTCTCGTTGTTGGCTGTGAGGTGAGCAATGGCATCAGCAGCATCCTGCTTCACTGCAGCGTCTGTCTGCGACTGCAGAATCGCCACCGGCGATGGAATCGCCTCACTCGTCGCGATCACTGCTCTGGAGTTGCCGCCCCCAGGGAGGGTGGGTGCCATGCCCTATACCCTTCTTCCATGCTTGCATTGACACTAAACATCCCCTTTGTTGCTTTGCTCTCTGTTCACTCACTGCCCACGCATTGCCCAGCCCAGAGCCCCCCACTCTCCCGCCCCTTCCTCCTCCTCTCTCACTCTCACCTGGTTCTTCTCGTTGTTGGCTGTGAGGTGAGCAATGGCGTCAGCAGCATCCTGCTTCACTGCAGCGTCTGTCTGCGACTGCAGAATCGCCACCAGCGATGGAATCGCCTCACTCGCCGCAATCGCCGCCCTGGAGTTGTCGCCGCCGCCCCCTCCCACTCCCACTCCCCCTCCCCCTCCCCCTCCTCCCACTGCCACCTTCCAAAGCACCCGCGCAGCCACGGCGCGCAGGTCCGGCGATCCGGTTCGGAGGATGCTGACTAGGATCGCGACGCAGCCAGCCTTCGCCACCACGGCTCGGTTCTCATCAAGAGATACGAGCGATAGGAGCAGTTGCAAAGAGACTATCTTAAGCTCTTCCCCTATGCTCGACGTTCTAGCACTCCTGGTACCACTCCCAGTCCTGGTTGCGATAACCGGGCCACCTGCACCACCTATCCCCGCTGCCCCCCCACTGCTTCCGAAGCTGCTGCTGCCGAAGCTGGCTCCCAGGTCTGGATGACTGAGCAGCACAGCAATCACAGGAACCACCCCTGCTGCAGTCACGTGCAGCTTCCCCGCATCCGACGACTCAGATAACTCCAGAAGCGCCCTCAGCGCCGTCCGCTTTTCCAGCGCAGATCCCCGGGAGAGCGAGACGACCAGCTGGCGGGCGGCAGCTGGGCCGGCAGAAAAGACAGAAGTTCCAGTGGCGGTAGAACTACGAGGGGAAGAGGCGCCTGAGAGGGGAAGGCGGGTGGGCTGGTGTGGGGGGGTCGGTGGGTGGGAGGTGGTGAGAGGGGTAGGCGGGGAGCGAGGGGGGAGCGTCCCTGGGAGGGCGGTTGCTAGGGCTGAATTGGAGGTTCTGGTTCCGCTGTGAGTGCGGTTGTTTCTGGAACCTTGCCTATTGGGAGTTTGCTTACTGGGAGCTGAGAGAGCAGTGGCCGCAGCAGGTGTTGAGGCTGTAGCGGCTGCGCGGCCCCTGCCCCCATCGTCACTAGCGCCAGCCGCAGCTGCAGCAGCATCAGCAGTAGCTGCGACGGCGGCGGGGACGGCATTAGGGGATGTGGGAGTGTGGGCAGAGGCAGCAGAGGTGCTAGCAGCCCTGTTACCGCTCTGCACGCCTCTACCCCCCCCAGCAGCCTCAGCGCTGTTTCGGCCGCCTGCCATAAATAACGACCTATCAACCATGGAACTTGAGGGGAGCGCCACGTCCTCTAAGCTCCTCCGATCGCGCTGCTGCTGCTGCTGCTCTTGCTCCTGCTGCTGCTGATACCCATACCCTTCACCTGTTTCTCCTTGTCCTCCTTCAACATCTCCCCCTCCTCGTGCTCCCCCTCCCATTCCTCCCACTCCATATCCGCCTCCCCCTGCTCTGACTCCTCCGCCGTCTTCCTCCCCTCCCACTGAGCTCCTCCCACCAACGCTCTGAGTGCGCCTATAAACCGTGGAACCCTGTCCGAGCAGGAGTAGGCACTCCGTGTGACACTGGCGAATCTCAGCTAAGCACGCTTTTAGCTGAGAGGCAAGAGCGGAGGAGGAGGAAGCGGAGGAGGAGGTGAAAGGGATGGAGCAGGTCGAGCCTGAGGATAAGTCTCGGGAGAGGGGGGGTGGGTCATCCAAATTAACCGGGTTAGGTTCGGCAAGAGGTTTGGCATGGCTACCAGTACGGGGTTTGGAAGAGAAGGCGGATAAAGACAAATGTTGCCTGCCAAAGAAGCGGAACAGGCCTGCGAATGGAGATTTGCTCGATCTGTTACATGCCTCGAGGGCAGTTACAGTGGTTTCTAGCTCCGTTAACAGCCGTTGGATGATAAATATCGCACGAGGATCTGAAGCGAGGTTCGCGGCTGCCGGACCTTGCAGCTGAATTAGGATCGGCAGGAGCTGCTTGGTTCGTTTCGAAACACGCTCGGCAGATACACGGAGGGCGGCGTTCCGAATGGGCGGAAGAGGGGGGCCGGTCGCGTGGAAAGGGGAGGCGGAGGGGGAACTGGGGAGGGATGCGGAGTGCCGGTGAGGGGAAGTAGAGGTAGGGTAAGGGCCTGATAGATGGACGATGCGGTTGCAGAGAGCAATGGCGGAGGAGAGATCGGTGAGGACGGAATTGGACGGTCCACCTGAGGGGGAAGCAATGGGGCCGGGGAACGTGTTTTCCGAGGAAGCCCTCAGCGAGGACGGCCTTAATGGGTTGCGAATGGCTGTTTCTGGACCGGGGGGAGACACGGTTCTGTTCGGATGCGAAGGGGAGTGCATTCGAAAAGAAATTTCTGCGGGTTCAGCCGCAGCAGCGGGCTGGTAATGACGGTCAGCGTCATGAAGACGGTGACCGTTTATTCCCCGACGGCCGTCGTTCCATTCTGATTCGCGGCCGTTACCATTCTGACGGCCGGATTCCGGTTCAGAGATGCGGTGAGCCGTAGATTGAGATGGACGCTGAGCTAATAACGGGGATGCAGAACCGGGACTAATATCGGACGGCGGAGTTTGAAACCCGCTGCTGCTACCACCGCTGCTGTTTCCATGACCCCTGCAGCTCGTGCCGTTCGCTCCCTCTGGTATACTCTGCTTCGATTGTGGCATGTAATCCCGCTGTGGTGCTGAATCATTGTAATGTCTGACCTTATCAACCCTCGAAGTACGGCCTTGGGTTTGCCGATCTTCACTCTGCTGTGATCGTGCTGGGTGGGAAGACTCGCTATAACGTGACTCGACAATATGACTGTAAGGAGGCTCGGCGTGCGGACCGTGTGAACGAAGCGTCGGCCCAGGAGGCTCGGGAGATGAAGCGAGATGATCAGGAGAGGAATCGCGAGGTTCGAAAGGGTAGGCTGGAGGCACGGAGGAGGCGGGGAGCTGGGGTCGGGCGTTTTTTGAGGTGTCCTGAGCGGTGCGGTAGAATGACGGAGGTTCCGGGATTTGATGCTGCTGCTTCTGCTGCTGTTGCCGCACCCTCTTCGTCGACGCCACCTGCGGTCCTCACACAACCAAATTAGATCAAATATAAATTAAATATGTTTGAAAAAGGGGCAAAACACAACACGAAAAAAAAAACCCTAACCACGAATGCGGAAGCATTTTATACTTGTGGTTCCGAGGTGGAACGGAACACGAGCGGATTCAGAGAAGGTAAGGGGCGGGACAATGCGCAGAATATACGCACCGACGATGCCTGGACTCTCCCTCGAGGCATCAGACGACGCGGTGAGGATTATTTGTAGCAGCGAGATGTGCGATAGCGGATCGTTGCCGTCACCGGGCGAGTTTCAGTGGATTCTTGAAACAAAAATATTCGTTGCTGCTTGGTACCCTAAACACAAAGATGGAGGCGCCGACGCGTGGTACCCCCGCATTAGGGTTGCAATGTAATATGGTGAATGGTCTCGCGCGGGAGTACTTAAAACTCGGTTAATAAATAAATGAAGGCCATGGAGATGACAGACGTTGCCCTGTTGGGTTAGTTAATGCCGGATAGTGACCACATCGGCGCGTGATTATGTTGCGTCGCAGCGCAAGGGATAATAAGCTGGCAGAACGTGGGGGACAAGGGGGGTGAGACCCACACCGCAAGCAACACAGCCGCGGAAAAGAACGTCAGTCGTGCATATTCTCGCAAATAACACCGTCACCGATGCTTGGAGCTAGAGAAAGACCTAGAGTGAGGATGAGTGCAGCCCTGCAGAGTCCAGGACAGTGCACTAGGAACAAAACGTCTGCGTTCGGTTCAGCGTCTCAACAGCGTCGCAGAAATGTCAACTTCCCCTCACCCTCACCCATCCACTGATTCCTTCGCTAGGTGTACGTGCACAGCTGATGATGAGTCTGGCTTGGACTGGACGAGACGAGCAAGGGCTTGGATGCGGTTCCCTCCCTCCACAGCTTTGGGAACTGTGGCTTGGATTGAAATCCACGAGAGTCATCTCGTTGTGGTCCTTGACCTGGCCCATGATGGCCAATCCGCAGCCCCGCACGAAGGCAACGAATATTAGTGGTGAGGAGAAGGGCTGTTGGTACGAGGTGTAAAATGCCCTCAATGCCCTGAACCTTTTGATTTCTGTTTTTATGGTATTCTGCATTTTGCAGGCTTAGACTGTAAACTACCCACGTCTTTGATGGCTGGTTGGCCCCATCGAAGCCCTGTCGAGAGCACGCGGGCAAAATGGGTTTGCAAGGGGATGACGGATCGTCGACCATTTACATTCCCAGCATGAACTCTTCTTGTAGGATCGTTTAGGAAATGCTAGATTGCCTGAATTTCCTAAACTTTGAAGACATACCCGCAAGGAGCATGACAAGTCTCGATCAGTCGCAGGGCATGGGTACGGCGTTGCAGCATTTTCGTCCGAGTCTGCGACAAATTTTCATTGGTTTTGGTGGTGAAGCGTTGACGAAAGTCGAGGACAGCCTGCGGCGCGAATTGTAGATTCCGCTATAACCACGAAGCACATAGGTACCTGCAGACAACCCAAGTTACATATCAGTATCCGACATCCCAAGTTAATTATCACCAAAAAGGCATATACACCAGGCTCTAACACCAGTACTACCAGAATTTTCCTCCACCCACTATCATAGACTCATCCTCTTCCCTTAAAAAATTACCATCATCTAACAATGAAGCTTTCCCACAAGTGAAATCCCACAAACGCATCCATCTGCCTTCAACCTCCTCCACCACATGATGTTGCATCCTCCTCCCAAGCACAGTCCTCCTGCGATAGCTCACCAAGGCAGCAACTACCACACCCCCACATGCATGCATACTCTCCACTAGAACTCGCCTCACGGTCTCAGGAGCATTGCCCCTACTTTCGCCAGCAGTCGCAACATCAGCTGTAGCACCACCTTCCCCTATAAGGTCAACATCCGCTGTTGAATCGCTGCGGTTACCAGCATTTGTAAGGTTACCACCAGCAGCAGCTTCACCACCACCACCATCACCATGACCCTCGTTACTAGCATCATCGGTTTCCACCAGCCAGGGGGGGAGAACAGTAGCGTCCAACGTGCGAATCTCCTCCCCAGTCTCCACATCCCACACACACAACACTCCGTCCCCTCGGCTCCCACTGATGCATTTATAACCGTCCACGTACAGTAAATCCACTGTACTGATGTGCGCCTTTGAGCAGGCGAGCAGCGTGAACTCAGCCACGCCTGCCTGGCAGCAGTTTGAGAGCACTTTAGATTCTCGCATGCCTGCTGAGAGCTGCCCTCCCGCCCCAGCTGCTCCTGCAGTGTTTATTCTTTCCGCTGCCCCTTCCTCCCGCACCTGCCCCATGCGCCACAGCCTGACACACCCATCCTCAGAGCCTGCTGCAAAGATGCAGCGCGATGGAGAGGAGGCGAAGGAGGAGAGAGGGGCGGACCCACATGGGAGGGCGAGTACCTGAGTGTGGGCGAAGAGAGTGGGGGCGTGGGGAGAGCAGAAAAGAGTGGGTGAGGGGCGGGCAAAGGAAGTGTTGGCAACAAGACAGGTGTATGCTAATGTTCAGATTCTTAATGCAGTCGTTGTACACGACTCAGACATCACATATGCGAAGTACTGTGCACGCTGCCAGGACCATGCCTGATCTTTTTAGAATTCTCAATTCACACAAATACATGCTCCAAGGACTGTGCACGCTGCCAGGACCATGCCTGTTTCAGTGGTAAGGAAGTTACAATTGCCGTTCCTGTTTCATTGAAAGCAGGCCCAGGGCCGCTATGCCTCCTTGGCCCACCACAAGGCACAGAACAGGCTGTGGGCGTGCGACACGTGCCTGTGCTGCACCTCCCATGCCATACCTGTTTCATTGAAAGCAAGTCCAGAGCCGCTATGCCGCCTCTGCCCATCACCAAGCACAGAGCATGGGTGGGGTGAGGGCGTGCAATACAACTCTGAACCAGTCTCACTGATTTGGTGTGTGGCCACGTCTCTCACACCATGCCATACCTGTTTCATTGAGAGCAAGTCCAGAGCCGCTATGCCACCTCGGCCCACCACAAGGCACAGCGCATGGGTGGGGTGAGGTGGGAGGGGGAGGAGAGCAAAGGGGGCTGTGGGCGTGCGGCACGTGCCGATGCAAGGCGAGGAAGACGACGAGGAGGAGGAGGAGGTTGGGGAGAGAGAAGTAGTCGCCTTGTGCGCCGCGGCATCCATGGTGATGGAGGATGGAATCATGTGGCGGCAATCCCACAGTCGCAGCTGCTTGGGATGGGACAAGAAGCAGCAGATGAAACAAAGAAAGAGATTAAGACAATCAAGTCCGGCTTATGAAAGCGAGTGAGAAAGAGGGTGGACAAAACATCAAGGAAGAGAGGGTGCGTGCAGGCAGATTAATTAATCGGCTGAAGGGTGGTGGTGTGGATGTGAATCACCTGCTTATGAATCAGTGCGAGAATTTTGAACCACAAATACGGTATCATGGATAAAGGTGCTTGGGAAAAACAACTCCCTAGCAATCCTCACCTTGGCGTCACGAGCAACACTGGCCAGAAGGAAGGGGTTGTGACTGCGATGAGGGAGGGCGAGGGGTGATGTTGAGAGGAGAGGGGCATGAGTAGGGTAAGTTAAAGTGACACGGATGATGACGACGACTCAGCCTGTTACCGCCTGGGTTTCAACTCAAAAGGGCATGTTTGTCTGGTCTAGCACACCCATAACCCTCTAGAACGCTACTGTAGCCGGCCCACACCCAACAGGGGAACAAGTCCGGTGCCCTACCAACAATTGAGTGAGGGAAAGGGCGAGGGGAAAGGGAAGGGGGAGAGGGAGAGGGACAATGAGGATGGCAGGAAGGCGAGTGAAGGAGGGAGGGAGTATGATGGCACGAGGGAGTCGAGAGAAGGACAAATGAAAAGGGAAAGAACGCTGGTGCCGTGCAAGCTTGTGCAAGCAACAACACGTTGAGGGAGGGAGAAAGAAACGCACGAAGCAGCAGCCAGGGCAGTTATTGCATGGACAGGAGGACGATGCTGATATGCATGGTGCAAGCATGTAACCCATGCTGGTGGTCTTGCATGTAAGGAGAACAGAACTGGCAATATGTGGCAGTACGAGGCCAGGAACGAAATCACCCATGCAGCAACAGGCAGGGCAGTTATTGCATCGACAGGACGATGCTGGTGTACGGTACAAGCATGCAGCTTTTGAGAATTCTCAAGAGTTCAATCACACGAGGACGGAAGTCAAGCCAAGGAAGAAACAAATCACCCACGTGGCAACAGCCAGAGCCGATATCGGCCCCTCATGGCCCTTGAGTGTGGCAACACATGCTGACCGCCCCTTCCCTGGCAGGTGGGAAAGAGGGGGGGGGATTGGAATAAGGGAAGCAGGGAAGGAATAGTGAGAATGGTTGGTTGGAGGGTTTAGTAGGAGGGTTTGGGAGGAGGGTGTAGTGAGGAAGACTGAGAGTGAGGTAATGGTGTGAAGAAGAGGATGACTGGATACCACCCAAAACGGAGTGACTTTTGAGTCGACTCAAAAGGATGACTGGATACCACCCAAACGGAAACATAGACAAGAACAACAGAAGAGAGGGACCACATACCTGATGGGAAGAGGGACCACATACCTGATGGGAGGAGGGACCACATACCTGATGGGAGGAGGGACCACATACCTGATGGGAGGAGGGACCACATACCTGATGGGAGGAGGGACCACATACCTGATGGGAGGAGGGACCACATACCTGATGGGAGGAGGGACCACATACCTGATGGGAGGAGGGACCACATACCTGATGGGAGGAGGGACCACATACCTGATGGGAGGAGGGACCACATACCTGATGGGAGGAGGGACCACATACCTGATGGGAGGAGGGACCACATACCTGATGGGAGGAGGGACCACATACCTGATGGGAGGAGGGACCACATACCTGATGGGAGGAGGGACCACATACCTGATGGGAGGAGGGACCACATACCTGATGGGAGGAGGGACCACATACCTGATGGGAGGAGGGACCACATACCTGATGGGAGGAGGGACCACATACCTGATGGGAGGAGGGACCACATACCTGATGGGAGGAGGGACCACATACCTGATGGGAGGAGGGACCACATACCTGATGGGAGGAGGGACCACATACCTGATGGGAGGAGGGACCACATACCTGATGGGAGGAGGGACCACATACCTGATGGGAGGAGGGACCACATACCTGATGGGAGGAGGACCACATACCTGATGGGAGGAGGGACCACATACCTGATGGGAGGAGGGACCACATACCTGATGGGAGGAGGGACCACATACCTGATGGGAGGAGGGACCACATACCTGATGGGAGGAGGGACCACATACCTGATGGGAGGAGGGACCACATACCTGATGGGAGGAGGGACCACATACCTGATGGGAGGAGGGACCACATACCTGATGGGAGGAGGGACCACATACCTGATGGGAGGAGGGACCACATACCTGATGGGAGGAGGGACCACATACCTGATGGGAGGAGGGACCACATACCTGATGGGAGGAGGGACCACATACCTGATGGGAGGAGGGACCACATACCTGATGGGAGGAGGGACCACATACCTGATGGGAGGAGGGACCACATACCTGATGGGAGGAGGGACCACATACCTGATGGGAGGAGGGACCACATACCTGATGGGAGGAGGGACCACATACCTGATGGGAGGAGGGACCACATACCTGATGGGAGGAGGGACCACATACCTGATGGGAGGAGGGACCACATACCTGATGGGAGGAGGGACCACATACCTGATGGGAGGAGGGACCACATACCTGATGGGAGGAGGGACCACATACCTGATGGGAGGAGGGACCACATACCTGATGGGAGGAGGGACCACATACCTGATGGGAGGAGGGACCACATACCTGATGGGAGGAGGGACCACATACCTGATGGGAGGAGGGACCACATACCTGATGGGAGGAGGGACCACATACCTGATGGGAGGAGGGACCACATACCTGATGGGAGGAGGGACCACATACCTGATGGGAGGAGGGACCACATACCTGATGGGAGGAGGGACCACATACCTGATGGGAGGAGGGACCACATACCTGATGGGAGGAGGGACCACATACCTGATGGGAGGAGGGACCACATACCTGATGGGAGGAGGGACCACATACCTGATGGGAGGAGGGACCACATACCTGATGGGAGGAGGGACCACATACCTGATGGGAGGAGGGACCACATACCTGATGGGAGGAGGGACCACATACCTGATGGGAGGAGGGACCACATACCTGATGGGAGGAGGGACCACATACCTGATGGGAGGAGGGACCACATACCTGATGGGAGGAGGGACCACATACCTGATGGGAGGAGGGACCACATACCTGATGGGAGGAGGGACCACATACCTGATGGGAGGAGGGACCACATACCTGATGGGAGGAGGGACCACATACCTGATGGGAGGAGGGACCACATACCTGATGGGAGGAGGGACCACATACCTGATGGGAGGAGGGACCACATACCTGATGGGAGGAGGGACCACATACCTGATGGGAGGAGGGACCACATACCTGATGGGAGGAGGGACCAGACACGAACGGTGCTGTCGCTGCCTCCAGTCGCGACGCACGGAAGGAAGGAGGACGAGGAAGTAGAGGAAGGGATAGCTGCGCTCGAAGCATCACTGTTGCTCCCCGTGCAAGGGTGTGAGGTGCCGATGATGCGGTCTGAGAGGCAGAGGATGGGGCCTGTGTGCCCTGAGAATGAGAAGGAGCGCAGACAGGTGGTCTGGGTGGGGCAGCAAAGGGGAGAAAGGGAAGGAGGTGGCGAAAGGTGGAGAGGGCAGCAGAGGGCAGAGAGGGTGGTATATCACGGGAGGAAGCAAGGGCGTGAGGTGCTGAGAATGTGTCTCAGAGCAGAGAGGAAGGGTAGAGAGGAGCAATAAGATAGGAGAGAAGGGACAAGGTAAAAGAAGGACGAAGGCCCCGACTTGTGTGCCCCCACTACCTTTTTCACCCTCTCACCTTGCAAGTATCTCTCACCTTGCAAGTATCTCTCACCTTGCACGTATCTCTCACCTTGCAAGTATCTCTCACCTTGCAAGTATCTCTCACCTTGCAAGTATCTCTCACCTTGCAAGTATCTCTCACCTTGCAAGTATCTCTCACCTTGCAAGTATCTCTCACCTTGCAAGTATCTCTCACCTTGCAAGTATCTCTCACCTTGCAAGTATCTCTCACCTTGCAAGTATCTCTCACCTTGCAAGTATCTCTCACCTTGCAAGTATCTCTCACCTTGCCCCAGAGGCGTAGAGTGCGGTCCAGACTGGCAGAGAGGAGGAAAGTGTGGGCAGGGAGGGGAAGGTGGGGGGTGAGGGGCACGGGGCGAGGGGTGAGGATGGAATGCAAAAACGAGCTGCCGGTCTCACCTTGCCCCAGAGGCGTAGAGTGCGATCCAGGCTGGCGGAGAGCAGGAAGGTGTGGGCGGGGAGGGGCGGGGCGGGATGAGGGGCTAGGGGCTACGGGCGGGATGAGGGGCTAGGGGCTACGGGCGGGATGAGGGGCTAGGGGCTACGGGCGGGGCAAGACAAGCAGCAGGATGAAACCATCTCACTTGCCCTCACCTCTCACCTTGCCCCAGAGGCGCAGAGTGCGGTCCAGACTGGTGGAGAGCAGGAAGGTGTGGGCGGGGAGGGGCGGGGCGAGGCGGGCAGCGGCAGGGAAGGGCGAGAGGTCCACTGGGAGCAGCGCTGTGATGCGGCCCTTGTGTGCCGTGAGCACTGCTGACATCTGCACCCGTCCTGCTGGTGCTGCTCCCCACAGGAGAATGTTAGAGCCCTGTATGCAAGGGAGGTGGGTGCAGGGGTCATGGGAGTGGGGAGGAGGGAAGGGCGAGAGGTCCCCTGGGAGCAGCAGCGCTGTGATGCGCCCCTTGTGTGCTGTGAACACTGCTGACAGCTGCACCCCTCCTGCTGGCGCTGCTGCCCGCCACAGGATGACGTTGGAGCCCTGCTAGCAAGGGAGGTGGTTGGGTTGGGTAGATTTAATACCGTTGACGCTGGGTTGGGTTGGGTTGGCTTCGAATCGTAAGGCAAGGCAGGTGGTCGGAGTGGATTATTGCTGCTGTGATGCGCCTTGTTGCAAGGGTGGGGGGAAGGGGGGGGGAGTGTGAGTGAGCGACGCTTGAACGAACACGAAAAGGTGACGGAGAGAACCAAGACCGAAAAAGAAAGAAAAGAAAAGAAAAGAAAAAGAAAAAAAGAGAACAAAACATAACAACGAGAAAACAAAACCCGAGCTATGAATGGATAAACACGACTAGGAAGAGGTACAAGGGGAACTGGAAAAAAAAAACAATAACAAAAACAAAACAGAGCCAAAGAGACAAAAACAGAGCCAAGGAGCGTACCTGCACTGCCACCACATGATGCCAGCCTTCCCTCCCCTCCTTCCCCCTCCCCTCCCCTTCCTCCCCTCCCTCCTCATCCCACTCATCACCCTCCCCAGCGCCTGGGACTGAAACTGAGGATAAAGCAGGGATGGCGGAAAGGCCTCCGCCCCCCTGTAGCGCCACCACTGCGCTCACAGGCTTCTGCGCTTCCCCTTCCCCCCCGCCGCCCTGCCCCACACCTCTTCCCCCCCTAACTCCCCCTCCCCTTCCCCCTGGCCCACCCCATCCCCATGCTGCTGCTGCCGCGCCTTCCCCTCCCCCGTCCCCCTCTCCTCCGCCTCCTGCTGCGGCTGCGTCCCCCCTTGCGTCCCCAGACAGGGGCCATGCGCACGTGGCAGGGTCGGCGATCTGCAGCTTCTGTGCTGCCACGTGGCGCTCTATGAAGGCCTGACGGAATCCCGAGAGGAGCGCAGCCTGAAGCACGGAAACATGGGGCATGTAGTGCGGGAAAGGAAAGGGAGAAGGGGAGAGGGGAGAGAAAGGGAGGGGGAAGGTGAAGGGGAGTGGGAGGGGAAGGGAAAGAAGGAGGAGAACGTGAAGGGACTTCGCCTCAAAAACTCACCTCCGAAACATTTTTTTTCCCAGAAACTATGAGAGAACTGACGTGCTGAGTACACGAGTTATATGCGAACCTGACGGGGTAGCTCTTCCTGATGTGCCACGTAGCATGCCCACGGTGCATCGCTATTGGCAAGTTGGCGAAGCGACGAGCAGCAAAAGGAGAGATTCACGAGGTCGCGGGGAGAGAGCCATCGGCAGCAGTGCGCGAAGCAGTCTGCCGTAAGATCCGCTAAGGACGTTTGAGCCGCCATGCAAGGACGAAGCGCGTTCAATGAGAAGGCGTGTTGAAAGTATAGGCTGCATTAGTATCAGAAGAATAGATGTACATGTGTTCATGCCGGAGTGGTTAACGGGACAGACTAGAAATCTGTTGGGCTCTGCCCGCGCAGGTTCGAGTCCTGCTGAACACGTTTTATTCTTTCGCTCCCAGCTTTTGTAGCTCCAATTTACATTTGTCAGTGAGGTTCAGGGTTTTTATTGTGCCTCACAGTTTTGGGGCAACTTTTCAAGTTCCTAAGGATTTTGAACCCCTACTTTCAAATGTATACCAGGCAAAGGTGTTTATCGATACATATACTTTCCCTTCGAAAAAATTATGCAGTGATGTGATGCCTACTTTTGTGTTCATGCTGCTTGAGGTAACTATGGATGTGCTCTAAGCCCTCACACACCCATCCTCATGAAACCTCCAATTCCAGCAGCTTCGATACCAATTCCGTGAACCTGCCAAGACTCTAATTTGAAATCCATCCATTCACTCCAAGCATCAGCCTTGGCAGCACCCTCCCAAGTGTCAAATATGATACATAATGAAACTGAATTATTACAGCACATGTGACATTCCCAGCAATCCTCAAATGTCATCCCAGATCAGTTACCTTATATTACATCTCATCTCCCAACTTAGGAAATCAGTTAATGACCTCACACCAATGAAAATAAAATGTCATCCCAGCTCAGTTACTTACACGTCCCCTTCCAGCAGCCATTACATGTCATCCCGGTTCAGTTACATTACATGTCATCCTCCAGCAGTTGCATTACATGTCATCTTCCAGCAGCGGCTTTGACGGCAGACAAGGCTGCACACTGCACGAGTCGAGAGACACAATAATAGAAAGAAAAAGAAAAGGCAGAGCAGACATTTTAAGGGCAGTCCATCCCTCCATGCCCTACACTCACCTCACCAACACTTGACTCACCAGGCCTTGGCGCGGTGCAGCACGGAGTGACTGCAAACTAATGCCCAGAAGCCGGGGGACCAGTGCAAGCTGCCTGCCTCGACAAGCCAACACACTCGCACACCTCAACGACCTGGATTCTCAGATATTGCCTCACCATGCCCCAACTCACCAGGCCTTGGCGCGGTGCAGCACGGAGTGGGTGCGGAAGAAGGCCCAGAAGCCCTGACACCATTGCAGGCTGCCTGCCTCTCACAGCACTTACACACCTCACCATGCCATGGGCTCTAGTTTTGAGGCGCCTCAAAACTACACCTCACCATGCCATGGGCTCCTACCGTGATTCACATACCATGTCTTAGCGCGGTGCAGCGAGGTGACATATGAGTCGACTCAAATGTCAATTCACGCACCATGTCTTGGCGCGGTGCAGCGCAAAGTGAGTGTGGAAGAATCAGTGCGGCCAGTGCAGGCGGGCAGGGCTCACACACGTGCACACTTGCCGCTTAGAGCCAGCCAACACACGTGCACACCGCACCATGCCCTGGGGTCACCATGCCCGTGATTGCCTGGACTCGCCTGTGATTGCCTGGGCTCGCCTGTGATTGCCCAGGCTAACCATGCCTTAATTCACCGTGCCCCAACTCACCATGTCTTGGCGCGGTGCAGCACAGAGTGGGTGCGGAAGAAGGCCCAGAAGCCTTTCGACCGGTGCAGGCTGCCTGCTTCTCACAGCACTGCAACACCTCACCATGCCATGGGCTCCTAGTGATTCACTCACCATGTTTTGGCGCGGTGCAGCACGGAGTGGGTGCGGAAGAAGGCCCAGAAGCCTTTCGACCAATGCAGGCTGCCTGCCTCCTCCACCGCTGCCGATCGCATCATTGCCACCACGTCCCTCAACACCTGCTGATCCTCTGCTTCACTGCAATAACAAAAATAGAGGGGGGCGGGAGAGGGGCAGGAGAGGTGTTGAAACCTTGTCCCATCCTCTGCCCGCCTCCTCCACGGCTGCCGACCGCATCATTGCCACCACGTCCCTCAACACCTGCTGGTCCTCCGGCTCACTGCAGTGATCAGAGCAAAGGGAAGGGAGATGAGAGACAGGAGGGGACATAAGGCACGTCTCAAGATCGGCTGCCTGCCTCCTCCACCGCTGCTGATCGCATCATTGCCACCACGTCCCTCAACACCTGCTGGTCCTCTGCCTCACTGCAGTGATCAGAGCAAAGGGAAGGGAGATGAGAGACAGGAGGGGACATAAGGCACGTCTCAAGATCGGCTGCCTGCCTCCTCCACCGCTGCTGATCGCATCATTGCCACCACGTCCCTCAGCACCTGCTGGTCCTCTGCCTCACTGCAGTGATCAGAGCAAAGGGAAGGGAGATGAGAGACAGGAGGGGACATAAGGCACGTCTCAAGATCGGCTGCCTGCCTCCTCCACCGCTGCTGATCGCATCATTGCCACCACGTCCCTCAACACCTGCTGGTCCTCTGCCTCACTGCAGTGATCAGAGCAAAGGGAAGGGAGATGAGAGACAGGAGGGGACATAAGGCACGTCTCAAGATCGGCTGCCTGCCTCCTCCACCGCTGCTGATCGCATCATTGCCACCACGTCCCTCAACACCTGCTGGTCCTCTGCCTCACTGCAGTGATCAGAGCAAAGGGAAGGGAGATGAGAGACAGGAGGGGACATAAGGCACGTCTCAAGATCGGCTGCCTGCCTCCTCCACCGCTGCTGATCGCATCATTGCCACCACGTCCCTCAGCACCTGCTGGTCCTCTGCCTCACTGCAGTGATCAGAGCAAAGGGAAGGGAGATGAGAGACAGGAGGGGACATAAGGCACGTCTCAAGATCGGCTGCCTGCCTCCTCCACCGCTGCTGATCGCATCATTGCCACCACGTCCCTCAACACCTGCTGGTCCTCTGCCTCACTGCAGTGATCAGAGCAAAGGGAAGGGAGATGAGAGACAGGAGGGGACATAAGGCACGTCTCAAGATCGGCTGCCTGCCTCCTCCACCGCTGCTGATCGCATCATTGCCACCACGTCCCTCAACACCTGCTGGTCCTCTGCCTCACTGCAGTGATCAGAGCAAAGGGAAGGGAGATGAGAGACAGGAGGGGACATAAGGCACGTCTCAAGATCGGCTGCCTGCCTCCTCCACCGCTGCTGATCGCATCATTGCCACCACGTCCCTCAGCACCTGCTGGTCCTCTGCCTCACTGCAGTGATCAGAGCAAAGGGAAGGGAGATGAGAGACAGGAGGGGACATAAGGCACGTCTCAAGATCGGCTGCCCGCCTCCACCGCTGCTGACCGCATCATTGCCACCACGTCCCTCAGCACCTGCTGGTCCTCCGCCTCACTGGAGTAAAAAAAAAGAGGGAAGAGATAGAGGGAGGGAGGAGAAGGAGAGGAGGGGATAAAGGCATGTCCCATCACCCACCGCCTGCCTCCGCCACCGCTGCTGACCGCATCATTGCCACCACGTCCCTCAGCACCTGCTGGTCCTCCGCCTCACTGGAGTAAAAAAAAAGAGGGAAGAGATAGAGGGAGGGAGGAGAAGGAGAGGAGGGGATAAAGGCATGTCCCATCACCCACCGCCTGCCTCCGCCACCGCTGCTGACCGCATCATTGCCACCACGTCCCTCAGCACCTGCTGGTCCTCCGCCTCACTGGAGTAAAAAAAAAGAGGGAAGAGATAGAGGGAGGGAGGAGAAGGAGAGGAGGGGATAAAGGCATGTCCCATCACCCACCGCCTGCCTCCGCCACCGCTGCTGACCGCATCATTGCCACCACGTCCCTCAGCACCTGCTGGTCCTCCGCCTCACTGGCGTTACAAGAAGAGGGGAGGGAGGCGAAGAAGGAGAGGAGGGATGATTTATCATCTTCTGCCTGCCTCCGCCACCGCTGCTGATTGCATCATCGCCACCACATCCCTCAGCACCTGCTGGTCCTCTGCCTCACTGTGGATGGGGGGAAAGGAGGAGGGGAGGAGAAAGAGAGTGGGGATCGAGGCACACGTCACCTTCCACTGCCAGCCTCCGCCACCACTGCTGACCGCATCATTGCCACCACGTCCCTCAGCACCTGCTGGTCCTCCGCCTCACTGTGGAGGGGAGAGGGAGGGGAAAGTAGGGGAGGAAGGGTGGAGGGGTGGAGGGAAGGTAAGGAGCAATGCTGACCGCATCATTGCCACCACGTCCCTCAGCACCTGCTGGTCCTCCGCCTCACTGTGGAGGGGAGAGGGAGGGGAAAGTAGGGGAGGAAGGGTGGAGGGGTGGAGGGAAGGTAAGGAGCAATGCTGACCGCATCATTGCCACCACGTCCCTCAGCAACTGCTGGTCCTCCGCCTCACTGTGGAGGGGAGAGGGAGGGGAAAGTAGGGGAGGAAGGGTGGAGGGGTGGAGGGAAGGTAAGGAGCAATGCTGACCGCATCATTGCCACCACGTCCCTCAGCAACTGCTGGTCCTCCGCCTCACTGTGGAGGGGAGAGGGAGGGGAAAGTAGGGGAGGAAGGGTGGAGGGGTGGAGGGAAGGTAAGGAGCACAGCCGATCGCATCATTGCCACCACGTCCCTCAGCACCTGCTGATCCCCTGCCTCACTGGAGTGACAAGGAGAGGGGAGGGACACAATGCAGAGAGGGGCGAGAAGGCAGGAGGGTAAGAACCGCTGCCGACCGCGCCATTGCCACCACGTCCCTCAACACCTGCTGGTCCTCCGCCTCACTGGAGTGACATGTGGGGGGAGGGGGGGAAGAGACGAGGGGTGGAGGGAGGAAAAGGTAAGATCCGCTGCAGACCGCGCCATTGCCACCGCATCCCTCTACACTTGCTGGTCCTCCGCCTCACTGGTGTGACATGTGGGGGGAGGGGGGGAGGAGGAAAGGTAAGAAAAGGAGGGGACATGCTGGTCCTCTGTCTCAATTGTGTGGCATGACAAGAGGGGTCGGGTAGAGGGGTCAGGACATGAGGCACAGAGCATTCTGTTTGAGATTGATTTTGAGAATTCTCAAAATCAATCTCAAACAAGAGGGGTCGGGTAGGAGGACATGAGGCACAGCACAGCATTCGAGCCCACCAGTGGGGCGATGTGAGCCAGGCGAGCAGGTCAGGTCAGACTTTTGAGACGTCTCAAAAGGCGAGCAGGTCAGGCCAGGGATGGCTTCCGACCGCAGCAGCAGGAGGCGCAGGGAGGTGTGGCGGCAGACGGCCTAGGGTGCCCGTGCCGTGCCCCCAACAACAGCTGAACCATGAGCAAGCGCCCACAGACGTACCAGTGGGGGGAGGTGAGCCAGGCTAGAAGGTCTGGAATTGCCTCCGACTGCAGCAGCAGGCGCAGCGAGGTGGGGCGGCGGAGGGCCTCGGAGCGCACGAGGAGAGCGAGGTGGCGCTGGAAGAGCAGCGTGAGCTCCGCCATGTTCATCCGAGCCTCCACATAGCCCCCTTCCCCCCCCTCTCCGCCCTCCCCTCCGTTCTCTCCGCCCCCTCCGCCCTCTCTGCCCTCCCTGTACGCCTCCCCGCCTCCCTGCCCCTCCCCGTACCCGCCTCTATAACCCCCTTGCCCACCCTGCTCCCTCTGCTGATGCCGCCGTTGCTCTGCTCTCTCCTCTAGATCTGCCCCATCCTCCTCATCCCCCTCACACTCCTCCTCATCCTCCTCACCCTCTTCCCCGTCTTCCCCCTCCTCCTCCCCGTCCTCCTCCCCACGCCACCCATTCCTCTCCAGTTCCTCCCCGTCTTCTTCCTCCCCCTCCCCATTCACCAGCACATCCGCTCCACTACCAGACAAACCCCGCCGCTCGAGCTCGCCGCCTGCGGCATTAGTTGCCGTCCAGCTAACGTGGTGGTCCAGCCTGGGCGGCCACTCCAGCAGCATTCTCTCCTCGTCCTCCTCATCTGGATCCCATCCCACCGCTCCCACTCCCGTTTCCACCCCCCCAACCGCTCCCAAACGCCCCATCCCTCCCTCTCCCGCTCCTCCTCCCCCTCCCCCTGCCCCTTCCACTCCCCCTGTTCCATCCCCTACACCTCTAGAAGGATCACCTGTAAACGGATCACCTCTAAACGAATCACCTCTATTCGCCTCACCACCTCTACTCACCTCAGGCTGCACCCACCGCTCTCGTCTCGATAGGCTGCGAGACCCAAATCGTGCCACGCCGCGCCCAGGTGTACCTCCCCCTCCAGGCGTGCCCCCCCCAGGTGTACCTCCCCCAGGTGTGCTGCGCCCAGGTGTACCTCCCCCAAAAGGTGTACCTCTTCCAGGTGTACCCACCCCAGCTGCACCCGTCCCTGTCACATCCAACCTCCCTGATGCAGACAAAAACGCTGGCATTGGTGATGCCACCCCTACTCCCCCTGCTTCTCCGGCTCCTCCTCCTGCTGCTGCAGCTGCTCTTTCTGCTGCCGCGCCCAAGTCTACCAACCGTGCCTCTCCCCCTTCTGCTGAGCCCGAAGCCATCACTCTTCTCGCGGAACCTAGCTCCGGCGTGCCGAGCCTCCTCGACACAGCCCTCGAGCCAGCTTCGGGAGTGCTGAGCCCCCGCGAGCCAGCCTCGGGAGTCCCAAGCCTCCGTGAACCAGCCTCGGGAGTCCCAAGCCTCCGTGAACCAGCCTCGGGGGTGCCGAGCCTCCTGGAGCCAGCTTCGGAGGAGCTTAGCCTATTAGTGGGAGTGGAAGTGCCAGTGAGCCGGCTGCTATCCCCTACCAGCCTGCCACTGAAAGCATGCCCTGCAGCAGCAGCAGTAGGTCCCCCCCAAGGGCTATTATGGTAGCACCCACCAGCAATACCACCAGCAGCAGCATTACCAGCGCTGCCAACGCCGCCATCGGCAGCATCGGCAGCACCAGCACCAGCAGCGGCAGCACCAGCGGTGGCACCAGCAGCAGCAGCACCCCCTTCCAGCAGCCCTTCACTCCCACTACTCACAGGCATTCTCGCAACAGTCACCTCCCCCACCGCCGCTCCCAGCAGCGCCTGAGACAGCACCCCGTACATCTGACTCTTACTTAAGTGCTTCATCCACTGCGCATCCCCGGGTCCCGCCAGCCGGATCCGCTCAAACCGGTCCCGCAGCCGCAGCAGCAGCCGCCGCCGCCGCCGCATCTCCGCCGTACCCACGTGCTGAAACTGCCCGCCACCACCACCAGCACCAGCAGTGCCGGTTTCCAAGCCTGTTTCGTCTGAGAGGGTTTTGCGGCGGGCGGCGTGGTAAGCGGGGGAGGCGGAGGAGTAGTGGAAGAGGAAGGCGGAGAGCACGTGCGGGCGGAACCAGCGGGCGATGTCGGAGGGATGCACGAGGTCGTCCACTGAGAGTGCCGCCAGGTGCTTGCGCGAACGTAAGGACTTGCGGGCCTTGTCTGTCTGCCACATGCTGTTCAGTTCCCTGCAATTGCAGCGCGTTATGTACCTGTTGGGGCGGGGCGGAGGGGGGGGGGGGGGGGGGGGGGGAGGGGGAAGGGGAGAGGGAGGGGGGAAGGTTGGGGAAAACGGAAAGTGAATGATGGGGAGGCGGACCAGAGGAGTAGTGGAAGAGGAAGGCGGAGAGCACGTGCGGGCGGAACCAGCGGGCGATGTCGGAGGGATGCACGAGATCGTCCACTGAGAGAGCCGCCAGGTGCTTGCGTGAGCGCAGAGACTTGCGCGCCTTGTCGGTCTGCCACATGGAGTTGAGCTCGCGACAGTTGCAGTGGGTGATGTACCTGTTGCAAGATGGGGGAGAGGAGGGGAAGGGGAAAGGAGGTGTCGGAGGGATGCACGAGATTGTCCACTGAGAGGGCTGCCAGGTGCTTGCGCGAGCGCAGAAACTTTCTGGCTTTGTCCGTCTGCCACATGGAGTTGAGCTCGCGGCAGTTGCATCGCGTGATGTACCTGTTGGGGGGGGAGGGGAGGAGGGGGAGGGGGAGGGTGGGAAGCGGAGATTTGAGAGGGGTTTGAAGGGATTTCCGCGCCTTGTCGGTCTGCCACATGCTGCTGAGCTCGCAGCAGTTGCACTGCGTGATGTACCTGTTGGGGGGGGTGTGGAAGTGGAGGGAACAAGGAAGGAAAGGATGAGAAGTGGGGAACTTGCGGGCCTTGTCGCTTTGCCACAAGCTGTTGAGATTGCAGTGCGTGATGTACCTGTTGGGGGGGGAGGAGGAAGGAGGAAGAGGGGGGTGGGGGGGGGGATAGTGGAGGGAAAGGGGAAGGGAAAGATGAGAAGTTGAGTGAAGGGAGTTCAGAGAAAAAAATTACAGGAATTGCTCTAACCAGTTTACCATCTTGTCGTCGAGGAAAAGGTGCGTGGGCAGGAACAAAAAGGCAGCTATTAAAGTTTAGAGTTAAGGGCTGTGAAATGCAACCAACAACAACAACAACAAAACAACAACAACAACAACAACTTACCAGTTGACGAGCTCGTAGCAGAGGATGAGGAGCGTGGGGAGGAAGACGAGAGCAAAGGAGAAGGCAAAGAGGACGTTGGCCCCGGTGGTGATGCCGATGTAGTTAAAGCCCGTGAGTGCCACCGTGAAGAGCAGCTCTGCAAGTGCGAGCAGCGAGTTGAGCACGTCGTGCGAGAAGGCTGCGAAGGGGGATGCGCCGTACTGTAGGCCGATGCGAATGGCTTGCAGGGGCAGGGTCACTGATACCTGAATTGGGGGGAGGAGGGGAGGGGAGGGGAGGGGTGGGGAGGGGAGTGGGGTGGATCAGGCAAAAGGACTGAGGAAGAGGAGAGCGGGATGTACCGTTCCGCAGGGTGGCTGTTTGGCTATTCTTGAGGGGCCTCAGAAGTGAAGTTAAAGCCCGTGAGCACCACCGTGAAGAGCAGCTCTGCGAGTGCGGGCAGCGAGTTGAGCACATCGTGCGAGAAGGCTGCGAAGGGAGAGGCTCCATATTGTAGGCCGATGCGAATGGCCTGGAGAGGGAGGGTCACTGATACCTGATTGGGGGAGGGGATGGCAAGATGGAAAAGGAAGGAGGCGAGAAGGGAAGGGCAGCGAGCAGCGAGTTGAGCACGTCGTGCGAGAAGGCTGCAAAGGGGGATGCGCCGTACTGTAGGCCGATGCGAATGGCTTGCAGAGGGAGAGTCACTGATACCTGATGAGGTGGGGGGAGATAGTGGGGGAGCAAGTGAGGAAGGGGGGGGGGGGAAAGAGGAGAGTGTTGGCGGAGTGGGGAAGTGGAATCTTCGAACTGTGTCACTACTGTAATGAAGTAGAGAAGAGTTGTTATGCCCACCTCCGTCACTACACGCATGCATACCTGCATCTGGGGTGACTGCACGCCAAAGACGGTGATGGAGACGAGGATGATGCGACGGGCATAGCAGGTGAGGTGCCACCAGAAGTAGTCGTACTCGTACCTGTGCCATGCCATGCCATGCCATGCCATGCCATGCCATGCCATGCCATGCAATGCAATGCAATGCACCACACATCACATGCCATGCCATGCCATGCCATGCCATGCAATGCAATGCACCACACATCACATGCCATGCAATGCCATGCCATGCCATGCAATGCAATGCAATGCACCACACATCACATGCCATGCAATGCCATGCACCACACATGTGCGGGCGGGAGGGTGGGAAAACACAAATCACATGCCATGAGGTGCCATGCACCATGCAATGCAGCTCACACGTGAGGGGAACGTAGTGCATGCCTGCAATGCTATGCAACACCCATCATGTGTCACTCACCGGCTGACTTTTGAGGCGCCTCAAAACTCACCGGCTGACCATCCACCCCTTTTGAGGCGCCTCAAAAGTCATGTGTCACTCACCGGCTGACCATCCACCCATCATGTGTCACTCACCGGCTGACCATCCACCCATCATGTGTCAATCACCGGCTGACCATCCACCCATCATGTGTCACTCACCGGCTGACCATCCACCCATCATGTGTCACTCACCGGCTGACCATCCACCCATCATGTGTCACTCACCGGCTGACCATCCACCCATCATGTGTCACTCACCGGCTGACCATCCACCCATCATGTGTCACTCACCGGCTGACCATACACCCATCATGTGTCACTCACCGGCTGACCATCCACCCATCATGTGTCACTCACCGGCTGACCATCCACCCCCATCGCATCTTGTACGTATGACTTGCCAGCAAGCCTTTCGACTTCCCCAGCCACAGCACCAGCGCGTAGCACACCGGCGCACCCGCCACATACACCACCGCAATCACCACCGACAGCGCAAACACCACCGTGTGCGTCTCGGAAAACCACCCGATATACGGCGCGGCACCCATCACATCCGCGCCGTACCAGTGCCGGTAGAACGCCTGGAAACACCGGAAGGTTACAGCTGCGTAGCTGAGATCGAGCCAGTTGGTCACCCCGTGGATCAGCGTGTTTTCGTACTTGTCAAACATCTCGCGTTTTGTCGTCACGTGCCCGCCCAAGTCGTCTGCCCGAGAGCCGATGCTGCTTGGAGCTCGCGAGAAACTGGTGCCGTCGATATCGGTGCGGAGAGAGGGAGCAGACGCAGCAGCAGCAGCAGAAGCAGCAGCAGCAGCGGAGGCGGCGGCGGAAGGGGTGAAGCTGGTGGTGCTGGTGATGGGGTGGTTCTTGGGGGTGCCGTAGATTCGGGTGATGGTGTGGGAGTAGAGGCGGTGCGTGAGGTAGAGGCAGGCGTAAACGAGGACGCCTAAAACGGGGATGACCATGGTGACTGCCCACTGCTGCACGAATGAGTAGGTGACTGTGCAGCCTGGCCCGATCACGTCCTGTGGATTGGAGGGGAATATGGGCAGATGGATGAGGTGGGGAGTGATCATGGGAACGGAGTTTGGTGTGGTTACGGGGATGACCATCGTGACTGCCCACTGCTGCACAAAGGAGTACAACCTGCTCATTATGACTGTGCAGCCTGGCCCAATGATGTCCTGAGGATGGGGAAGGGATGAGCCATACAACGACAACACCTGGGTCGAGAGCGGTGCTTACCGGTACGAAGAGCGCGATCTGGAAGTACTGAATAATGGTGTTCACCCAGGAGGGCAGCGGGAGGTTGTACGACCCGATAAACGTCAGCATCTGCAGCTCTATAGCGAGTATAGCAATGGTGTGAAACGAGTCCGACAAAATCCCCATGGCCACCCAGGCGAGCACGATGAGCAGGAGCAGCAGCGGGAAGAGGCGCTGGAAGGTGGGTGCGCACTGGTAGCAGAACTTGAGCACTGAGTAGTATCCGGGCGCGCAGCTGGAGCAGAGCCGATTCTCGTTGTACCCCTGCTTGCATTGCTGCTGCTCCAGAGTTGCATTTGCTGCCGCCTGCTGCTGCTGCTGCGGCTGTTGGGTAGTAATCACAGTGGGTTCAGAGGAGTTGGAAGGGTAGACCAGCCCTGCACATCCATCTAACACGTCGCAGGCATACACGGCAGGGATGCCAGAGCTGATACTGTTGAAGTCAAACCAGAACCCCTCCTCTACTGTCATCTTCCCTTGCTCGCACGTCACCGCTAGCGTGTCTTTAAGAACGTCGCGGGTCATCGGGCAGGGTAAACAATCGGTGAGGGATGCTGTGCCCGGGAAAAAACTAAAGCTGCCCGGCGGGCAGAGCTCCGCGCCCCGCCCGGACCCGCACCAGCTCCCGATTGGGCAGACCTCGCAGGTCATCCCCGGGCGGGTGTAAAACTGCCCGGGCGGGCAGAAGACGATCTCGACCGTCCGTGCGATCGGCGGAAACGCATCCAACGACGAGGAAACCGACAGCGTGAGCGAGAGATTCCCGGATTCGGGTGGTTCGACGATGGAAACGGGGGGGATGGTGGCGCGGCCGTTGACTGCTATGGCCTGCAGGAGGCCGCTTATGGAAGGAGTGGGGAGGATGGAGGCTTTGGCTCGGAAGTCGTTGACTGGGATGAGGCCTGCTGCGTCCAGCACTGTGACATGCAGCCCTGTCACTGGATTAGCCCTGTCTCCCTTCACCTGGAATGGCGTGGTGCTTCCAGCTGCATCGTTCTGCCCTGACCACCTGTGGGGAGGGGATCAGCGGAACAGGGGGGTGGACGAGGCATGGGAAAGGGGAGAGGCGAGTGAGTGCGATGGAGAGAGGGGGTGGGGAGGACGGAGGCTTTGACTGGGATGAGGCCTGCGGCGTCCAGCACGGTGACGTGCAGCCCTGCCACTGTATACCGATACAGTGGCAGTGGCAGTGGCAGTGGCAGCGCAATCGCCCTTCACCTGAAATACCATGTCAGTTGTGGTGGCACCTGCTGCTGAGTCATTCTGGCCTGACCACCTGGGGGGAAGGGGGAAGGGGGAATGGGAAAGGAGAGGGGGAGGGGGAAGGAGGCAAGGGTGAAGCTAATAAGAGGAAACATGAATCATGATGACCAGAGCAGAGGTGACTTTTGAGTCGACTCAAAAGTCACAAGGGTGGAGCTAATAAGTGGAAACATGATGACCAGAGCAGCGGGGAGCCACGGATGGGGACGTGAGGGAGTGAGGGAGTTAGGGAATGAGGGTGACTGAGACTCACTGGAGGCGGAAGGAGGAAGGGAGAGTGCCGATGGTGTCCTGCTTGTCTTTGCTCTCACACCCCACACACGTCGACCGCATGGCAGGGAGGAACGTCGCGTCAAGAAACGCCGACCCAAGCCCGCCTGCTGCCATTGCAATCCCCCCCGCCCCTCCCCCTCCCCCTCCCCCTCCCCCTGCCCCTGCCCCTGCCCCTGCCCCTGCCCCTGCCCCTGCCCCTGCCCCTCCCCCTCCTGCACCACCTGCACTCCCCCCAGCACCACTGCCACCACCAGCACCACTAGCACTGCCACCGCTGGCAAGAGCTGGGATGCTGCCGTTACCAGTGACTCTGTTGCGGTAGAACGACAGACCAGACACGTTCAGAGGCAGCAGCCCGCCACTCACACTCACACCGTCACCACCGCTGCCGCTGCCGCTGCTGCCGCTGGCACTGCTGTTGGTGATGGTGTTGCCGTTACCGTTGGCGCTAGTGCTGGCACTACCAGCAGTGGCATTGGCAGCAGCGCCAAGGTTACTCCCTGCCTGCAGTAACCCTGCAATATCAGACGCCATAACCACAGCCCCCACCGCTGCCTTGCTAAACCCCGTTCCCCCCGCCCCCCCCACCTCCTCCACTTCCCCCAACCCCCCCCGTTCCCCCAGTTCCCCCTCTTTCCTCACCCCCACCCGCTCCTCCTCCCGAACCTCCCCCCATGCCTCCCCGATCCAGGTACACAGCCGACCCGTCCGAGCCTGCCTCGTTGCTTCGGAAAGCGCAATTCCGCAGGTCCCCGTGCGCGTAGTCGAGCACTAGGATCGCGCCACCTGTCCCCATCGCCGCCCGGTTGGACTCGAAGATCGAATCGGAGATCTGCAGGGACGTGTTGCCGGCCACAAAGATTGCCCCGCCAGCCTCCTGAGCCTGGTTGTTTGAGAACATGGGTGCTTGGGGCGTGGGTGCTGGGTCAGCAGCAGCAGATGCTGTAGTTGATGCAGCTGTGACTGTAGCACTCTCATCATAACCAGCAGCAGCAGCAGTAGAAGCAGCAGCAGAAGCAGCGCCACCAGCAGCGGCATAAGCAGCAGCAACAGCAGCATCATCCACCCGCGAGCTAACACTCAGCGAGCTCTCCGCATCACAGAAAATCGCACCTCCTCTATGCCCCGTGTTCCCCTCAAACCCCACTCCACCCCCCACCACCACTACGGTCGAATCCGTGGCAAAAATCGCCCCTCCATCCCCCACGTCCATCGTGCTTCCCCCCGCATTCCCCCGAAAGAGAACCGGCCCGTAAAAAGACCCCACTGCCTGCCCCTGCAGCACCACCGCATGCTGCGAGTTCCCTTCAAAGACCGTGGGCGTTTTGCTGCCCACCCGCACAGCGACCAGCAGGCGGACTCCCCCTTCCGCGAGAATGGCCCCGCCGCGTGCGGCTGTGTTGGCACGCAGGGAGGAGGCGAGCAGCGAGAGGCGCGCGTTCTGAATGCAGTAGAGCGCCCCGCCCTGGATGGTGGCGCTGTTGCGGGCCATGACTGATGATGAGATGTGCACCTGGTGTATTATGTGAAGGGGTGAGTGAAGGGTATGGGTAGAGAGGGTTGGCAGGGAGTTGAGGACAGTGAGAAAGAGAGGTGAGATATAGTGGTTTTGCCCCACCCCCCCTCCCTTTCCCTTCTTCGTGCGGCAGTGTTGGCGCGCAGGGAGGAGGCGAGCAGCGAGAGGCGCGCGTTGTGAATGCAGTAGAGCGCCCCGCCCTGGATGGTGGCACTGTTGCAGGCCATGACAGACGAGGAGATATGCACCTGATGCGAGAGCATGTGAGGGGGGTGATGGGCATGGGAGGTGGGGAGGAGGAGAGAGAGGAGGTGAGGGCAGTGGGAAGGAGGGCTCGGTCGCTGAGACGTCTCAAAACACTACTTCAAACATTTGCTCTGTGGTCTGAGTTTCGCCACAGATACCTGGGAGAGACAAGCAAGGGTTGCATCGCACATACCTGCAAGTCCATCTTGGACCAGAGCATGCCGCCATCTATGGCCGAGTTGTTGAAGAAATGGGAATCCGTGATGGTCGAGCGGATTATGACTGCCCCATGGCTCTGATGGGCCGTGCGCAACAGGTGCTAAGGGTCAAACGAGAAGGAGGGAGAGAATTACCTGCAAGTTCATCTCGGCCCAGAGCATGCCGCCATCCATGGCCGAGCTGTTGAAGAACTCAGATGACCCTTAATGCCGTGTGGAGTGCGCAACATGTGCTAAGGGGTCAAACGAGACAGAGGAAAGGCGGAAGGAGAGCCGCAGTGCACACACACCTGCGAGTTCATCTCGGACCAGAGCATGCCGCCATCCATGGCCGAGTTGTTGAAGAAATGAGAATCCGTGATGGTCAAGCGGGTTTGCCCCGTGGCCCGGATGGCGCCACCCTCGTTGCCGCCCTGGTTGGACGTGACATTGCTGGATGTGATTGTAACGGAGGCCAGCTCGCTCATGGAGATGCAGCCTCCCCCAGATGGCGCGCTGGAAAGTGGGAACAGGTGAGGGAAAGAAAAGGGCAGGACAGGAGCACAGGAAAGAGGGATATATATATTTAAACACATCTCAAATAACGGGGAGAGGAAACGGGCAGTGGCAAACGGGAGGATACTTTATCAGTATGTAAATTGAGAATTTATATGCTTCCTAACCTGTTCCCAGTGCACTCGGATCGTGTCATCTGCAGCTGTGCAAATTCCTCCAGCATCACACACACCGCCACCGTTGCTAGCCTGCCCTCCAACCAACCAAGCAGCTCTTGACTCACCCGAGCCACCTCCCAAGCACAGCCCCCAGCCTCTTCTCACCTGTTCCCAGTGCACTCGGATCGTGCCATCTGCAGCTGTGCGAACTCCTCCAGCATCACACCGCCACCGTTGCTGGCCTGCCCGCCCTCCAGGCGGCACCCCATGAGTGCAGCGCGCGCCGCCATGCCCAGATGCAGCGCTGCTCCCCCCAGCGTGGCGCTGTTTTCACCGAAGGTCACGTTTGAGAAGTGTGCTGTGGGGAGGGTGCTGCTGCTGCTGCCGGTGGTGGTGGTGGTGTTGTCGCTGGGAGGAGAAGTTGGGTGCGAAACTGCCGAGGTAGGGGAGGGAGAGAAGAGAGAGGCAGGGAGAGATAGAGGGAAGGAGATGCGTGAGAGAGAGAAAGGGAAAAGGAAAAGAGTGACCGATGGCACGTGGCATGCCGTTCAACGGTTCAACTATGTTGAGTTTACTTCGGAGAATTCTCAACATAGTAAACTAGTAAACTCAACATAGAAAAACAAAAGAATGACCGATGGCACGTGGCATGCCGTTCAACGGTTCAACTCCAACCCACCTGCCACAGCACCACGCTTCACAACAGCATGGTTGCGGTGGAAGGTGGTGTGGGCGAGGGTGAGGCGAACAATAGCATCACAACATTTCCCTTAAAAGACAGCCCACCCCCTTCCAGTCAACCACCCCTTTCCAGTCAACCACCCCCTTCCAGTCAACCACCCCCTTCCAGTCAACCACCCCCTTCCAGTCAACCACCCCCTTCCAGTCAACCACCCCCTTCCAGTCAACCACCCCCTTCCAGTCAACCACCCCCTTCCCGTCAGCCACCCCCTTCCAGTCAACCACCCCCTTCCAGTCAACCACCCCCTTCCCGTCAACCATCCCCTTCCAGTCAACCCACCTGCAACAGCACCGCCCTTGACAAGAGCACGGTTGTGGTGGAAGGTGGTGTGGGCGAGGGTGAGGCGAGCAGAGGCAGCAGAGATGGCACCCCCCTTGGATGCCGGTGCTGTGTTGCCCTCAAATCGACTCCCCTCCACCTCCACTGCTCCCTCCGTTCCCTGTTGCACGGGCGAGGGGAGAGAGGAGAGAGGAGAGAAGGAGAGAGGAGAGAAGGAGAGAGGAGAGAAGGGCGAGGAGAGGGGAGGGAGGAGAGAGGAGATAGAAGCATGCGGGAAATGAAGAGGGCGGGTCAAGGCGGGCATGGAACAGACACGCATCACTTTCAATTCAAGAACCCAGAGACAGGTCATGTGACCACCCCGTTTTATACGTTGACTTGATTGACTCGGTTGACTCACCTCGAGCACAACGATCGCGCCCCCCTCCCCAGAGATGGCGGTGTTGTTGCGAAACACACACCCGCGCACCACCGTGGCCATCAGCCCTGCTGTGGCGATCGCCCCCCCGTCCTGCAGCACGGTGTTGTGCGCAAAGAGAGAATCCTCTATGGTGGTGCTCATGGTGGCGTAGTCTGGGGGGGGACGGGGGGAATGGGTTGCAAGGAAGAGCAGGGAGAGGGTTCAGACAGAACAGTGCATGGGAGCACGGGAGATGGTAGATGCCACGCCACGTGTAGATAGGTTATTTTTGAGACGTCTCAGAAATAACCATTCTACACAGAGCAGTGCATGGGAGCACGGGAGATGGTAGATGGGAAGGAGTGAGGCTGCTGCGGCAATCGCCCTCTACAGCTGCAGCAAACAACGCATGTTCCCACCCACCCTCATACTCCCCATATACTCACACACGCCGCCGTATCTGAACTGCGCCTCGTTCCTCTCATGCCGCGACCGCCTCACAGTCACATGGCCCTCAAAGTTCCCCACAGCTCCCCATTGCATGCAGACGCATGTTCCCATCCTCATACCCCCCCCCCCCCCACCCCCCCCCCCCCCCCGGTATACTCACACGCGCCTCCATATCTGAACTGCGCCTCGTTCCGCTCATGCCGGGACCGCCTCACAGTCACATGGCCCTCAAAGTACCCCACCGCTCCGAAATCCGCCACATTCCTCTCAAACGCACACTCCTCCATCACCAGCGGAATCACCACGTCCCGCCTGGTCCACTGCTGATTAATCACCCCTCCCTGGCTCAGCGTTCCGTACAAATGCCCGTACGCGATATTCTCCCGGAAAGTCGAGTTAAAAATCCCCAATTCTGTATCCATAATAGTGATCGCCCCGCCAAAGCCAACCATAGTGCTGTTCACCCAGTTTTTCTCCATCAGAGTTCCCCGAATGGTGATGTTCCCGCCGCGGGACGACACCGCTCCCCCGCCGCCACCAGTATTATCGTACGCGGAGCACAAGCGGAAAGTGGAGGAGTCTATAGTGAGGTTTCCGGGGTCGAGAGCGTCGAGACCGCCCCCGTCCATAACCGCGAGGCAGCGGGAGAAGGTACAGTTTTGGATGGCGAAAGAGGCGGTTGCATTGAGTGCAACCCCACCGCCGTTCACCTTGCTGTAAATATCCCCTTCCTTAGATACATCCGCGTTACACCGGAGGAACGAGGACGAGGAGATGGAGACGAGCGGGGAGGAATCATCCGAGAAGCATCCTCCCCGCATGGCCCGCGAGTCGCGGAACTCGCAGCTCGTTACAGTCACGTTGGAGAGAGAAGACGAGACCGCGCCGCCCAGGTTCTGAGCGTAGCAGCCCGAGAAGCGGACAGCTGTCAGCGCGGCGTTGGACGAGACGATGGTGAGGCCGCCGCCATTGGTGGATGAGGAGGTGCAGTCCCGAAGGGACGAATCGGAGACCTCCACGTGGGCGACGCTGTATAGAGCAACGGCTCCTCCTCCTTTGCCAATGGTTTCAGCTGCACCACCAGCAGCACCAGCACCACCGGCGCCAGCACCACCGGCACCACCAGCAGCGCCAGCAGTGGCAGTGGGGCCGCCAAGAGCCTTACAGCCTTCAAAGCGAGAGCCAGAGATGGTAACGTTGGGGGAATCAACAGCAAAGATTGCCCCACCACCATCAGCAGCAGTGCAGTTGAGGAACGAGGAGTTTGTCACCTCCACTGCCTGCCCCTGCACCAGCAGACAACCCCCGCTTCCTGCACTGCCACCAGCACTGCTGCTGCTGCTGTTGCTGCCAGTGCCAACACTGCTGGTGATTTCTGCTCTGCCATTGGCCACTACCACTCCCCGCAACACCAGCTTCGCCTGCTGCTCACTGCAAATGCTCCCGCCCCCTGCTCCAGTGCTGGAAGCTGCACACGTGGCAGTTAAACACGACCCGCTGCTGCTGTTGCTGCCGTTGCTGCTCTCACAGCTGATGACGGGAGGGGCGGAGGTGTCACCAGTAGCAGTGGCAGCAGTGATGGTGAGGGGACGACCCCCCAGTTGCAAGCCGAGGGGAGGGACAGCGTGAGTGCCAGGGGACAGGAGGATGGTTCCGCCTGTAGGAGGGATACTGGTGCGTGGGGTTGGGGAAGGGTACGGGGAAGGGTATGAGGCGGTAGTGATGGTGAGGGGAAGAGAAGATCCCCCTAGTTGCAGGCCGAAGGGAGGGACGGAGTGCGTGCCTGGGGACAGGGGGATGGTAGGTACCACCGTGCCACATGCAAGAGGATGCTGGTGGGGATGGGGAAGTGGATGGGGAAGGGAAGAGAGAGTGGAGGGGTGAAAGGTTGACGGTACAGGGATGAAGACTGTGTGTATGGCGCAGTGATTGGAGTGAGTGTGGGGGAGGGTGAGCATGGTGAGGGGAAGACCCCCCAGTTGCAGGCCGAAGGGAGGGACAGGGTGAGTGTCTGGAGAGAGAAGGATGGTGGAACCTGTTGGGGGGGATGCTGGTGGGGGTGGGGAGGGAAGAGAAGGGAGAGTGGAGGGGTGAAAGGTTGAGGTGGTGGGGACAGGGAATTTGGGGTGAGTGTGGGGGAAAGCGAGAGTGGTGTAGTAAGCAAGGGGCAGTGAAGGGATTCATAAGAAGCGTGACTGGAGAAAGGACAGAAGGAAGGAATGCGAAGGGAGGGACGGACGGGCGGAGGGCGAATGGAGGGAGGGGCAGAGGGAGGGAAGGAGGAGTTGGGGAAGCAGGGAGGCAAGGGAGAAAGGGGGGAGCGGAGGTTTGGAGATAGAGACAGGGGACTTACATGGTAAGAGCCTGTTCGATTGTGCCTGAAAGACATTGGGCGGACGCAAGTCAGGGAAGACAAGACATGTGACAAGGGAAGAGGGAAGGAAGAGGGGTCAGTGTGGGAACGGAGCAAAAGAGAGCAAGATTCGGTTTTAGGAAAATATCACAAGTGAATTTAAGAAAGCGAGAAAGAGGTGACTGAACGGACAAACGGAGGGCCAGGGATCAAATCTCACAGACACTTTACAACATAGTTTCTAGCAAACTCTCCAGCAGCTCACCACAGGGATTGCCGGAGTCCCCACAGCATTGAGCGGCCTGGCTGCTGGCTGTCGCGTCCACATGCACCTCCGGCAGCAGCGGGCACGCGGCTGGTGGATAAAGGAGTGGGAAGGGATGCGAAGCGGTGGAGAGAGACGGGAAGAGGGGGAGGGGGGAGTGGGGAAACGGAGGAAAAGGGAGGGGAGGGAGGGCGTGGGGGGGAAGTGGGAGGGAAAAGGGATGGGAAGAGCGAGAACGAGGGGATCAAAGAGGGAAAGGGAAGGAGGGGGTTGGGGAGAGAGGCAAAGGGAGGGGAAGGGAGAGGGTGAGTAAGAAGGTGGGTTGACAGTAGGGTGAGAAAGGGATGGCAAGAAAGGACCGTCTGTAGACAGACTAGCAGCAGCCACGCTAATCCTGAGCTGGAAACCTTCCCATATCCCATATCGATCCTGAACCGCCAGGAACCTTTCCACATCAATCCTGAACCGAAGAGAACCTTTCCAAGTTCATCTTGAGCCGAAGCTCCTGGCATACCTTTTGAGAATTCTCAAAAGTGACCCTAACTTAATCTAGAACCGAAATCTCCGGGCATACCTTCTGCTTGACCGACTGCCAGTGCCAGCAGCAGCAGAAGCAGCAACGGTACTATCAGGCTCGTCAGGAGCTCCGGAAAACGCGGTAGCTGCTGTCGCTGTGAGTCGCAGCTAGTGCGCATGTTTTCAGGTCGATTCGCTCCGCGACAGCAACGGTAACTCAAAGGCTGTCGCCGTGAATCGCGGGGAGATAGACAGGGTGGTGAAGCACGGCTGGAAGCTACGTCGGCGACTGTTGCGTGTAACATAGTCGTCGCGTGGCTCCGCGATACCCGCTGGATCAATCCCTGATTTGACGCGACCACGAACCCTACAGGATCGTCCAATGACGAGACTATGAAGTGCTGGTCCTTGCGCCACGTGGCGAGCTCTTAGAACGAGAGAATAATGGCTAACCGCGCAGGATATAAACAGCTTGGACAAGAGAGAGTGTTTCCGTCATTATAGCCAGCGCCGTTACTATCCGATAGCTTATGAAGAGACTCGTTGTGTTCGCCCGCCATTACTCGAGTTTTCGTCATCACCAAAGCATCCAGGAGTTCTAAAAGCAATCCGTGGCATTCCCTGGCAATCCTTGGCGTTATGTCACTGGTGCACCAGTGGTCTTCACGCTTTTGAGGGAATTAACGGTACCCAGGCTTCACTGTTAAGGAAGAAATAGCTTATCGCCGTGCTCTAAATGACAATGCGAAGACTCTCACGCTTGAGCTTTCATTTTTTGTCGACACAGAAAACGTAACATTACTCGAATTACACGAAATTTGTGGGAACAAAAAGCTTGAGCTAGTTGGGAAGGCGAGATCACGGCTCTATGTACAAGCATTCGCTTTCTATTTATATCGCACCACGCGAACGATCGCAATGCTGCGCGAGCTATTTAGCGGGATTGTTGATGCAAGATTGTTGTGATATCGTTCCTGTTCCAGCCATGGGTCTCTCAATGCTGTGTTCCATAAGCTAAGCAAGCAAGGCAGGCTGGAGAAAAGGACAAGCTAACATAAGTTCTTTTGATGGAGAGATTTTCACCATTGGAAAAACTGGCATCAGCCAGAAGAAAGCGGCACGGTACAGGATGGCCGTCCGAACGTGGAGGAGAAAGGGCTGCGATGGAGCGAATTACCCAAAGATTTTGCAAGATTACAACATGGAAACCAAACAAAAACGCGAGTAGAAGCGGCAACACATTCTTGAAGGCAAAAACCTTCTTTCTTTACCGAAATAATTTTTCCGCTTGAGATGTGTATGATACAACGAACCTTCAATAACCGAGTAACGGGCGTTTCTGCCAACCGTTTCGAGTTTGTTTGTCAACGACAAAGCACGAGGCTGGTGAAACTGCCCGCTCTGGTTCCACATTCCTCTACAGCTCCTTCTTCACACCTCCACCGTGCCTCGCCAAATTTTGTCGCGAGTCTTCCAACCTAAACCACACCTGCCATCACATGGCTTCCGTCCGTTACTGTACCCGATTGCCCAGCACACCGAAAACTAGCGTGTCGCCGATTCGTGGACAAAGTGCTGTAGGTTCTAACGGGTGACCCGTTACAAGATCCTTAAAGTCAATAGCGTGTTCCAGCTTAGCAGGTGTTTTGAATTTGAAGTGTACTGGTAATATTGTCACTTGACTCCATTCGAGAGGGAACGCAGCCATCTCAAGCACTATACGCACTTTTTGCGAAAATGCACGCAACATTATGGACAGCTTCAGCAAAGCATGAATGAAAGTTAGTCTAAACAAGCATGCAAACTGGAAAAAAGAAGCCTACCACTTCAGATTGTCAGGTCATTATCATCAAAAGAAACGTAGCGAATGGCCATAGGTCAGTCAAAAGAGCCTCTCCGCCTTGGGACGAAACAAGGTGCATGGGTAAGTTGTTAGAAGGCCGCATCTTCCAGGTCACAACTCCTGTTTGTGAACCCTGCATGACCTGAAAACGGGAATCAAGGAGTGTTTTAAGCATATATGGTAATTGGACGGCAAAGCATGCCGTGGTTCAGTCCCTAGAGTGGAAAACTTGTAGAATGGAGAGCATAATAGTGTGCATGGTCATTCTTCCAGGTAGAAAAACTAGAGTACTCACACTGTTTGCTTGTCACACACTGGATTTATTCTACCTCAATCCTTACCTGACATTGCTGGCCGCCTTGTTTTGTTGTAGCTGCTGCTGTGGCTGTGGTGATTGCGTCTTCTGCTTGCACATCTGCCTGAAGTTTCCACCAGGGCTTGATGAAGGATGAACACTGAACTGCCACATTGGTCGCTTCTGGAGCTGCTGCTGCTGATGCTGCTGCTTCCTGTGGTGTGGCTGCTTCTGCTCCTGCTGTCCCTCCTGCTTGTGCTTCTGTGGCTGTGTCTGCTCTTTCTCCAGAGCCTGCTTCTCATTCTTAATTTTCTCTCCAAAATCATGACTCTTCGTAACCTTATAAGCCGCTTCCTCCTCACCACCCGTGCTCTTTACTTCGCACTCCGCTTTCTCACTAGATTCCACTTTCTTGTCAACTTTCGCTTCCATCTGCTCGTCCTCCTGCAATTGTTTCCTCCTCTGCCCATCTTCCGTCTCATTGTCACCCAATTCTGACCCATCTGGGCAGCTATTATCCCGCTCTTTAAACCTGGAAGGTTTCTGCCCGTTCGGACGCTGACCTTCTTGAAACGATGCCACGTCATCGTACGATTTTCGCAGGGCCGTTTCAGCTCCCCCCCGGCGCTGATTCGTCCACTTCTGCTGCCACGCCGCCTGCTGCTGCTCCTGCTGGTGCTGCTCCGCCACTGGCTCCAAAAGCGGGATGATCTTCGCCGTCCATTCCTTCGTATCCAACGGCCCATCCTCGTTAGCTCGTTTCACAACGTCCAACCCGCCAGAGGCTACGATGTACGAAGCGGACAAACGATGCGAGCTCAGCGCAAACAACGCCCACGCCGCCCGCCGCGAAACGCGCTCCTGCAGGCTGATATCTGCCGGCCCGCACAGAAGGAGATCTAGCAGCGGCGGCACGGCTCCCGTCCCAGCAATCATTACTTTATTTTCGTCGTTATCCTCCGCTATCGAGCCCAGCGCAAACGCCGCTTTTTCCTGTACCAGCAGCGAGCCTTCTCTTAACGCTTCTGTCAATATCGGGATCGCGCCGGCTCGCGCCGCGGCGTCTTGGTTCTCCTTGGCCTTCGCGACGACATGCGCGAGGGCCTCCATCGCCTGTCGCCGGACTTTCGCCTCGCTCGCTGAATGGACGATGGCGACGAGCGACGGGATCGCCTCGCCTGCGACGATCGCTGGCGATTTGCTGTCGCAGTCGCTGTCGCAGCCCGTCGCAAGGTTCAGCAGCAGGTTCACCGCGACCGCCTGCGCCTCGGGGTTGCCGCCGCGAAGCATGGCGATTAGCGACGGCACGCACCCCGCCTTAGCGATGACCTGGCAGTTAGCGGGAAGCGCGGAAAGCTGCACCAAAGCGCGCGCCACGAGAAGGTTCAGCGATTCGCGTGGAGGGGGCTCCGGAAGCGGCGGAAGCGGAAGCAACGCCGCCACCGCGCCCCTTCCGCAACTGATCCCTCCTGGTTTTCCCCGTTCCACACCCCCGCTGCCCTTGCCTGTTTTTACCGTTCCCCGGCTACCCGCGCTCCCCCCTCTGCTCCCCTCTCCGCTTCCACCCCCGCTTCCCCCGGCGGAGAGCACCCCCCCTCCTTGGAACCAATCATCGTCGTCTGCGCAACCGGGTAACGCTGACTCGTCGTCCAAAAGGAAGTCGTCTTCAGGCAACGACAGCAGCACCGACAGGACCGGCACCGCCCCCGCCGCCGCGGCTTGGAGCTTCCCCTCATCCGTTACAATCACATCCATTAGCGAGGCCAGAGCCGCGCGCTTCTCTTCCGCCGATCCTTCCGCCAGTGCGTCCACTAGCCGGCACACGTTCGCGCTCGCCGCAGCGGCGGCGGAGATGCTCGACCGATTGAGCGCGGACGGCAGCGGGGACGACGCGCGGGGGCGTCGCGGGGAGAACATCCTTGGCGCGGCGAACGCGGCGGCAGCGGCGGCGGCGGCGGCGGTCGCGGGGCTGAGCGGACGAGGCGAGACGGCGATCGAGCCGTAGTATGGCTGCATCCTGCCGGAGGAAGCGGAGGAGACGGTGTAGGTTCGGCCCGGGCCCGCGAACCGGCTCCCTCCAACACCGCCGCCACCGCCGTTGTTAGCTCCTATCAAGGCGAGTGCCGCGGACGCTGCAGCATCGGCTGCACTGCTATCGCGCTCCCTCCGCTCCCCCCCGAGGAGCGCCAGCGGCGGCGCCCCTGCTAAAATCCCCGGTCGTTGCCGCCCCGCGGACCCACCTCTCCCGTACAGTCCCCCCGCAGGCGGCCCGCGAAACCCGGAAGCGGCGGAGGCGGAGATCGACCTCGGGGGGATCCCGCGCACCTGCATCTGCTGCCACGTCATCATCCCGGGAGGCCTTGGGGAGTCTTTGGCGGAAAACGTAGCGGCGGAGGGGCCGATCATGGGGCTCTGGGGAAACATTTCCGCCACCTGCTGGAGAACCCGCGCGGGCTGTTCCGCCCCGCCGCCGGGAAACATTACCGAGCTTCCGCTTCCGCCGGTGATACCGCTCCCGCTGTAAGACTCCAGGAACGTGGAAGGTTCCTTGCTCGACCCGCTAGTGTGACTGCATGAGACGGTTCGTAACGGGAAGTGGTTCTGCTGCGTCGGCGGTGGCGCTTGTGACACCAACGAGGTCGACAGCGGCCCGTGGTCGGCGGCGATTTTGGCATTGGTGGTATTCGAAGCCTGTCCCAGCAGCATCGAGCAGACGGTGTGACAATGTCGAATCTCCGTCACGCACGCGTCTGCTTTGCGCGCCAGCCCCTTATGATGATGCCCAAGGCTGAAAAACATCCCTGGTATAGTCAGCTTGCACGCCTTGAGCAACGCGATAACGTCTTTCAGCTCCGATGCGAGGCGGCGGAGAACGAACGCGGAGCGCGGATCAAAGGAGAGCGACGGCGCGGAGCTTTTAAGAAGATGGAGCGTCGGCAGCAGCTGTCGCACGCACACCGCGACTTTCTCCACGCTGATGCGATGCACGTAAAGGTGCGGAGCCGCGGTCAGGCGTGCCACGTGTTCGGCCAGAGAGAGCGCTGACGTCAGATCCGCGCTGGCAAGGATGCTGTACGAGTCAGTGGTTAGAGATGCCGCCGTCGCCGCGATTGCGCTCAAGTTGGGGCTTCCAGGTGGCACGATGGCATTGGGTGGTTCATTTCGATGTTCCGGATAAACGGTTCCTATAGCCATGTCGCGTGGTCGGCTAGCCTCAGCTACTAGGCCTCGTCGTTGCAATAATAAGCCTAGGGATTCAGGCTGTTTAGACAAATCTGGCTAGAACGGCACTCGGTAAGCAGTCGAAGCGCACGACGCCATGGTCGATGGGTGGAACTAAACACGCTCAGTCGTTGCTATACGTGATGTTGTAGGAGCCAACTAAAGATGCGTGCGGGCATTCGCTGCACGCTAATGCTGCCGCTTTGACTGGCTTGTTAGACCACACCGGCTGAAGCAAAGGTGTGACTACTAAATCAGCAGCAATAACCACGTCCGAGTGATACGGTAGTTAGGTTAATGGTTGCAACCTCGCGGGCTGTCCTTGTGTGGCCTTACTTCTCCGTTTCGTTAGCGGGTTCGCTGGTTTCAAGCACCCTCAATTTTGGATAGCCGGAACAGGGAGGCCTAGAAGCTATGAAGTGGCTTGTGATGCTTTCGTGCCTCGTAGGTCGTCTGGCAATCTAGCCGGATGGCAGCCCGAGGGTCACAAAACAGTGTGGTTTCGACTATGGGCTGGACAGGAGTGGAGGGCAAACTTGTATCGAGGGAATGTACAGACGGTGATAGGGAAAGGAAAAAGGCGGGAGCGGGGTTGGTTCGACCAGAACAGCTAAGATGGAACAGTTGTGTCTCACGAAGCCATACACCCCCGTAAGGAAGCAACGATCACGCCAGGTGTGTCCTTGCAGCACCTCCTCACAGAAGGGATGAAAGTAAACAACTGCATCAGTGTACTTACTATTCGCTAACAGCCGTACAGAACAAGATCAACAGCAAGATATCTGTACACGCCTGCGTAGCAAACTCGTGCTGTGCTGCAGTGATACTGCTGCCATGTCCAAGGGCTCTTCACAAAACCGAGCCCTCTACAATCTCATCCCATCCATGTCACATTTTCGAAGGGATGTGCAATTTCCTACGTGCAAAATGCGAGAAGGCGACACGGTAAGAAATAAATGCGGCTCGATTTGAAATTCGCGGTTCGCTGACTGGACATGGACCTTGGGCCAATGCATGAGTTGGCAGTGACCAGGCTCACCTCAACTGGAGTGACGTGCAGGGTTCTGGGAGCCAGGTTTGTTTGCCATGTTTACCCTGCGTATCATAGTTGTATATTGTGATTGCGAATTACAACATACTGCTGCCAGTGCTATGGAACACACCGAAACTGCTACCTCATCAGCCAGCCAGTGGATGGAGAACGCATTCTTAGGGGGTGTTACATTGCGCGCTGGTCCATTTACAAGGAAATGGACCAGCGAATACATGTGGCCACCATTTTAGAGGGATCGCTTCCAAAAGTGGTTCCGCGTGGTACCGGGGACCATTTGCGGCGGACCAGCTATGCACAGTGCATTGCAGCTTCGAAACGAAGTGTTGACGAAAACAAAAGTGAGCCAGGTCGCGCCTTAGGACGCGGTCGAAGTAGACAATCGATCGTCAGTCGTGATCGATGTGCAAAACGGTTACCCTATTTTCCACGTTGTAACTATGCTACAGTACTCTTTTTGGCCCAATTTTTTGGACAGTGTGTGAATGCGACTGATCACAAATCGCGGGAGCTCTATCAAAATTTCAGTGGCGTTCGTTACAACGTCGCGATCGCTACGCTTCGCCAATCGATATGCCCAATCAATTGTGGGGATCGATATGTGCAGACGATCCTGCGATATTTGCATCTGTACCGCGTCCTTTACAAGATTTCGCACAAAGCAGCTCCTTCTGGCGCACGATCAAAACGCAGTTTTCGCATGCGAGATGGTCGCTCTGGAAATGGTCATGCGTGTCGAGCCTCGTTTTCGTACGTGCGTCTCGCACTGTACATGCTGGTCCGTGTCCACAACTGGGCCGTTCGCTGGTCCGTGCTGGTCCGCTCTGGTCCGTGCAAATGCCCCTGGGCCGTAGCGGCCCAGCACGGCCCAGCTTAGTTCTTGCGCACATGTTACACCCCCTTTAAAAAAAAATCCCCAATTGGCCAAGTCTACTCCCACAAAAGAGACAATATAGATGCTGCAAAACACGCAAACGCCAAAGCCTGGTGTCGTCACCCTTGCCCCTCACAAAGCCTGGCAACCTGGTTGTGACCGTGAACATTAGTGTCGGGCTAAAAAAACACTGGCTGCTTTCTGTGGGCAGAAGGAACCCAGTAAATGATGTAAGAACGAGAACACATCAACGGGCAGGATGAATAGGGTGTAAAACTCTGAACTGGCAGGGATTTCCAAAACATATCGAGAACACCAGCTACGTGACGTTACAAAATGGTTCGTTGGGGTAGCGAACACTGCCGGACAAGTGAAAATGGTCCTTTTCTGCAAACGGACAACACTTTCGTCCACCGTACATCTGCTTCATCCTCGTCCCTAATGCCACCCAAAAATGCAAGGGTTGGATGGGAGCTGGTAACGGCCTTATTCGAGCATTTTCGAAAGATAGAAACGAAGCGGTTTGTTTCGTGAAGAAGCAAATAAACAGTCTTATGATATCTAGTTTGGTTGATATCTAGATGTGAGAGTAACATTTGATCAAGTTACCTGTTTCGCACAGCCGTTCCTCGTCATGATCGTGGTCTGTGTTCGTCCCAACTCCAAGGCCACCTCCCCTTGCCCCTGCTGTCACTGCCCCTGTGTGCATATATCCATGATCCGAGGTTTCCAGAACAAACGTGTCCTTTATAAACCGTCTAAAAACTAGCCGAACCATGGAGAACCATGTTTTGGTTGTTGAGAATGACCCTTCAAGGGGCAATGGACACATCCAGCCCTCCACTCCATGCTGCTTCATTTGCCCTCCGCCACTCTCCTGCTTCCCTTCCGCTCCGCTCGCCTTCTGCTCTCCTCTGGCTGTCCCCGTTTTCCGCCATGCTTCTGCTTCCCCACAACCTTCCCCTCGCGACTCCCCCCCCCCGCCCCCCTCACTCACCTCTTCTCGTACTACCCTCCAGCTGTGGCTGCTTGAACTCCCTAGGGCTTCCAGTCTGCTAACGGAGAGGCTAGGGTTTGGATCCCTTCCACCCAGCCCTCACGCAATCAGGGAAAGATAGCCAGCTGTAACATTCCAACTATCCGCGGCTTCTTCCTGTAGCGATTTCCAGACGCAGTTTTTTTTTTCGCCTTTTTTTTCATTTTTCGGGTCGCGGTGTCGATGCTTTTGGTCACTTGAGCTCGAAATGGCGCCTGGTGACGGCTTTGAGTTTGGCGGGGAGAGGGTCGTTGTCGGAGTTAGTAAGGACCCATCGTGTAAAGAAGCCATCAAATGGGCCATCACGAATAAAGTTCGCAGCCCAGACGACATTCTTATATTGCTCCATGTGGTCACTAAGATTCCCAGCCCAAGTAAGCAGTTTTATGGCTCCCTTTCTCCTAAACTGGATGATTGTTTCCTCAAGTGCGCATTTCGTAAGTCTGTGCTTCTATTGTTGCTTGCACAACATTAACTAGTATTCCTGTTTCACGGATCAGGTATGGGTGCTTATGGAGGAGCGGGAAGGCAAGTTGCAGGTATTTAAGTCGTTTAGATAAAAAAAATCATACTCGTCTGTTTTTGTCAAGATGCAGTCATTACGGCGTTCAAATCTGCAATTTCATCCATTTTGACAAAACTTAGTGCATTGCTAGCGTTTAATACCTGCCATATCCGCATGCTCATTTCTCCTGAATATCTTTCAAAGCTCCTTACATGGCGTTACACAGTTTCTGCGTGCTCACTGCGCTGACTACAATGATTTCTTCTGGTTGGTTCTGGTTGCAGGAGCGGTGGAGATGTATCAGAGCGAGGTCAACAACACCATGTTTGTGCATTATGTCCGCACCATCGTGCAGCCTATGATGCTCTCTCTGAAAAAACTCGTCGACCCCAAGGTATATCGCGTCTGATGTCTCTCGTGGTAGTGATACGAGTGACTGCAGCCATTCTGTTCCGAGTCGCGGTTTTCCTGGACAATGACCCGGTTTTGAAACGAGAGAGGATCAAAATATTGTTTCATTCATTTTTTGTCGTCCATTCGATACTGCAGATCAAATTGGAGCTGAAGGTTGGCCGAAACAACTCAAGAGAAAAGGGAATCGTGGAAGAGTCGAGCAAGCTGAAAGCGACGACGCTGGTTCTAGGAACCAATGCGCGAGGAATGTTCAGCATGTAAGCATCGTGCCCGCTGTTTCACTCCTTTTCAAGCTTTCTTCGGGAGCCTTTTTTAAAAAGATATGCACCTTGGAAAGAGTATCTGGAAGCCGTCTCACGTGCTGATCTGTGTTTGACTTGGCAGGCGGGGCAAGTCATCGAGTACCGGAGCGTACTGCGTTCGTTATAAGCCTCATGGTCTCTCCGTTTTTGTGATTCAAAAGGACAAGGTCGTTCTTTACAAGGAATCGGAAGGCTCGCCCATGTCATCTGCTTCGGGAAGTCCTGCTGGCTCGGGCCGTCTGATGCCAGGCTCGGGAGGGTCCGGCCAAGGCTCGGGTTCTCTCGAGCCGACCTACAGCGGCGGGTTCAATGAATCGGGTAAGCGTTACGTCAGTGGCAATTTGCTGTCTAATATGATCTCATTTCGGATCATGCAGGGATTTCTGAAAATGAGAAATGACGGCAGATCAGACCTTTCTGAAATCCGGGAAGGTGAAGATTCAGGAAGGGCGAGGAAGGCAGAATTGAACAATCAAAATAATGATGTCATTTTTGTGTTTTTCTTGCTATCCCTGAAAAACGAATTCACAGGAGGAAGAAGCGGCGAGTACGACGAATCGGGCGGAGGATACGGAGCACCCGTTGGCTCATCCTACGGCCAGTACCAGCAGTACCCTGCGCGCGGGGGAGCTCCGCAAGGGGGGGGCTGGGGCGGCGGCGGCGGAGGAATGAACGCGCCATATGGGGGAATGATGGGGGGAGGAGTGGCGCCGAGAGGCCAGTACGGCAGCAACGACTCGAGCCCGCAAGGCTCGGGACCCATGCAGCCCTACATGCCCGCGTCCGGCGGC